CATTCTGCTTGCTACAGAGAGACAAGGTGAACAGTTGTGGGCCCCCTTCTTGAACCCACCGAGAACTTTGGCCTGTATTTACACTGCTTGTTGACCGCAGCCCTGCTTTCCTGGCTGTGTTCCGTTGCCCTGCGGATTGCTGCAGTGTGAGTGGTGCTGCTTAGCCTTGGGCTTCTGTGCCTGCCCGCTCTCTCGCCCACTATTTTTGTAGGTAGGTGGGGGTAGACTCTGACAGCACAAAAGACAGAAGCCAGGCCTGCTGGCTCTTGACCGACCCTGCCCCTCTGATGTCACTTCTGCAAAATGCAAGGCCAGCGTCAGTGTGGAGCCCTTGGCACTCAAGTCGGCGCTGGCCAGCCTCTTGCTCTTCCTCCCTCCGCTTCTAGCCCTAGTGGGAGGATCGGGTGCGAGCTGGAGAAGGGTGTTTGAGTGAGCGCCTGATGGCTGAGGAGCTGTGATTCCTGACCAGCTGTGCTGGCTCTTTCCTATTTCTGGAGTGGAGAAGCCAGAGGTGTGTGCCCTCTTCCACACCCCTGTTAGATCTCATCCTGCAGACATGTGGCATCAAATTTTGTAGCAAATGTAGAACTGAGTTATGCAAAACATGTACTTTTTGCACTGGTGGTCCCCAGTTTGTTTTTCCTGGTCTGCCGTGGCCTGTATGTGTTTGAGTTTCCCCATCAGACTTGTCCACAGATCTGCTGTGATGGCATATTGAGCTTGTGGTTAACAGCACACAGACAAATGCATGCAATATCTGTTTTGATGTTTATTTGAAAATCAGAGAAAGAGGTTGCTCCCATTGCTGGTTCATTTCTCCAAATACCCACAACAGCCAGGCCTGGGCCAGGCTGAAACCAGGAGCCGGGAACTCCGACCAGATGTCCTGCATGGGTGGCAGAGAACCAAGTACTGGAGGCTGCCATTGCTTCTCCCAGGGTGCGTGTCCGTGGGAAGTTGGACCAGGAGCGAAGCCAGAATTCGATTCAAGCGCTCCCATTTGGGATGTGGGCGTCCCAAGTGGCAGCTTAACCACTGCACCAGGTGCTGGCCCTCTAGTGTCCATTTTTAAGCTAGCTCTTGTGAAACTGTGTATACTGGGACCAGCTGTTAACAATGACTGTGTAGGGCAGAGGAGTTGAGTGAGGCTTTACCAAGAGGGAGCAACAGAGAGGTCAGCCACCTGCTGATTCCCGCAGATGTCAACAACAGCTGGGGCTGAGCCAGGCTAAAGCCAGGAGCCTAGAGCTTCATCCTGGTGTCCAAACTCAAGTGCTTGGGCTATCTTCCTCTGCTTGACCATGTGCACTAGTTGGGGGCTGAATCGGAAGCAGAGCAGCCAGGATGTGACTGGGCATGCCTGTGGGATACCTCAGTGGCAGGCAGTAGCTTAGTTGCCATGCTACAGTACTGGCCCCTAGCTTTACCCAAGAAAAGTGGTGGTTGCCTTGCTGCCTACTTCACAGAGTAGAATGAACCTCTTAGCATAATGCATTTTGACAATAACTTGAATAGTCAGCTATCAGCAAATAGAAGGTGATGACAAAATTCATTTAGCCATATTGAAGAAGAGAAGTATTCTATGGTGGAGGGCAGTGTGCTAGAACTTTCTGAGATGTTTTCAAATGGTGAAGGAAAAAATCCTGTATTTTTAAGTTTGCTGTTTCAAAACTAAGCAAAGGGCAGCTGTTACTCTTCCCTCTTTGCCTTAATATATATTTTTCCTCTGCCCTAATTATTGCTTTTAAAACACCAGCATTTTGAATTAAAGGGCCATTGTTTTTCTTTTAGGTCATGAAGTGGTGACATATCTGGGTGTTAGGTTTTCCCTGGTCCGTTTGTAAAACCAGATCCTTTGCTTTGCAGCCTTTCCCACAAAGGGCCTTCTGCAACATCTCAGATTGATTCTTGAGTATTGTTTGGAGCGTTACTGGCGTTAAGTGTCTTAAGTCCTTTTTTTTTTTGAGTCCTTTTTTTTTAATAAATAAGATTCATTTGAAAGACAGTTGCTACAAGAGAGAAGTGTTTTAGCTGCTGATTCACTCCAAGTGGCCACGATGGCTGGAGCTGGGACGAACAGAAGCCTGGAGTTCTGTGTGGTTCTCCCAAGTGGTTGCAGGGCTCAAGCACTTGGGCCAACCTCCATGGCTTTCCCAGGCACATCAGCAGGGAGCTGGAGCAAAAGCGGAGCAGTGGGGATTCAAACTGGTACCAATAAAAGATGAGTAAAATAAACAAACAAAAATGCAGACTTGGTGAAACAGGACAGAACGTTGGTCAGTGTGATAGTGAAAGCTGGAGGGAATGTTGTGGAATGCTCAGAGTTTCTTTGGGGAGATCTGTGTGACAAGAAGGAAACTCACTGGGCAGAGATCAGAGGGAAAAGCATTCTAGACTGAGCACAGCTGTGCCGAAGTCCTAGATGCTGTCTGTCCCAGCTCCAGCCCGTGGGGCGTGTTGGTGGGGTGGGTGGGAAAGAAAGCCGCATGACTAGGGGTGAGTGGGCATAGGCGATAGGAGATGCTTGAAGAAGTAGCCCAGGAACCTGTAATGTCCAGAGTTAGACATGTCAGTGTTAGGCCTGCATTTGTTGTTGCTAATACCGACTTCCATGACACACCATTGGGGATGTCCTCCTTAGGATCACCAGTGTTGTCTTACCCAAGGGTCCCTTGTAGAGGCATGGGCCTTGACACTGTAGATTTGGTTTGCTGACTGCATATCAGATGAGACATGGGTTCATGAGAGCTTCTGGCTTGAGTGAGGGGTCATTCACAGCCTGCAGCCTGTATTTCAGCCATTTGTACACGTATCTTTCCTAACTTGTGCTGGGCCATCTGCAGGTCCCGGTGCCAAGGCCCAGCTGCTGGCTACCTGGGCTCCTGTGGACGCACTTCGCAGCTCAGCCTGCTTTCTCACCTGTTTCTCCTCCATTGTTTGTTTCTCCCCAACTCTTGGTATAGAAATTCTTGCTCACTCCTCGGGGAACCATACTTTCCAGTCCTTGTCTTGCCAACTTCTCGGCTGTATCCCCGGGGCGTGGAACATTCCCTTTTCTCCCTTGGAATCGGCTCCACGCAGAGCAGCTCATTAGTCCCGCTTGTCATCTCTCAATTTGTTCTGTCTTGTTCTTTTACTTTGTTCTTCTGCCCAACTTTCCAATATTGGTGTGTCCCAGAATTCCCTGGGTGGTCCTAAAGATTCACTGTTGGGAACAGGGAAGACCCAACCACAGGTGCATGACTCACAGGTGACGTTATTGGGCGTGGACTTCACCTTGACTTTCAGATCCAGTGCTTCATTCAAACGGGTGGGGTGGACATTAGTACCCCTGCTTCTGACCCAGTTCCTGCCAGTGCGTATCCTTGGGAAGCAGTAGATAGTGGATCAGTACTCTGATCCCCGCCACCTTTGTGGGAGACCTGGATTGAGTGTCAGGCTCCAGCCTGGCCCAACCCTGAGTTTTGTAGATATTTAGGGTGTGAGCTAGCAGGTTGAAGAGTGCTCTGTGTCTCATAGTCTCTCTTTGCTTTTCAAATAAAATGAAACTAAGTACCAGATTTTTTTTTAAGCTTAAGAACAAACTTTTAAAATTTATTTTAAAGGCAGAGTTAGAGAGAATGAGAGACACAGAAGTCTTCCATCTGCTGGTTCACTTCCCAGATGGCAGGAATGGCTAGAACTGAGCCAGCCAGGACCTTCCTCAAGGTCCTGTGTGTGCAGGGGCCCAAGGGCTAGAACCATATCCTGCCGCTTTCCCAGATCATTAACTGGGAGCCAGATCGGAATTGGAGCTGCCAGGACACAAACTAGTGCCCATGTGGAGGGGTACGGGGACCTCAGGTAGAAGCTTAGCCCACTACACCATGGTACTAGCCCCAAGTAAAAGCTTTTTTTTTTTAATCAAAAATTCAGATTTAGAGAAGAGAAAGATCTTCCAGCCATTGGTTCACTCCCCAAGTGGTTGCAATGTTTGGAGCTGAGTCGATCCAGAGCCAGGAGCTTCTCCCAGGTCTCCCATGTGGCTTTGGGGCTGTCCTCCACTGCTTTTCCAATCTTTAAAAAATCTTTTTAAAAATAAAATGCCATTCTTTAAATCAATGCGTGAATGAGTGAATGAACGAAATGAATCTGTCATGGACATGCCAAACTCGAGGTTAAGACTGGGCTTATCTACACCCTGCTCCACCCACCTGAGGGTTTTTCATCTCTGGTGATGTCAGGATGGTGACACCACCCCACTGCCTGTGCTGGGGCCCCAGGGAGAGGCAGCGTCATCCTCAAATGTAACATTCCCTCAAATCCAGGTTAGCTTGTATCTGAGTATTTGGGGGCTGTTTCTCCCTCCTCCATCTTCATTCCTTCTTTCTGTACGAGGCCAGTGTTCCTCTCTCCCAGGATGGGCTGTCACTCTGAAAATCCTCTACTCGCTTGTATTGCTGCCCCCTTTGCTCACATGTTGTCAGAGCCATGGAAGTTACTTTTTCAGAGCTGGATTTTATCAGTTCATTTACAGATGTATTTTTCAAAAGGCAGAGTGACAGGGAGAAACAGTGAGAGAACCAGCCTCCATCTGCTAGTGTGCTCCTCAGTTGCCTGTTATAGTCAGGGCTGGGTCAGGTGCATGCTGGAAACCTGGAGCCCACATACTTGGCAGGGACCTGGATCCTTGAAGTGTCACCCACTGCCTCCCAAGGTGCAAATCCATAGGAAGCTAGACTCAGAATAAAACCACCATTTTTTAAAAGAAGATTTTTATTGGAAAGTCAGATATACAGAGAGGAGGAGAGACAGAAGGGAAGATCTTCCATCTGGTGATTCACTCCCTAAGTGACCGCAATAGCTGGAGCTGAGCCAGGAGCTAGGAGCTTCTTCTGGGTCTCCCACAGGGGTGCAGGATCCCAAGGCTTTGGACCGTCTTCTACTGCTTTCCCAAGCCACAAGCAGGGAGCTGTATGGGAAGTGGGGCTGCTGGGATTAGAGCCAGCACCCATATGGGATCCCAGCGCATGCAAGGTGAGACTTCAGCCTACTAGGCGACTGCGCCAGGCCCATGAAGCTAGAATTTGAACCTAGGCACTGCCTTATGGAAAGGGCATCTTAACCACTGCACCCAGCCTCACTTCCGTTCTCTGCTATTTATCCCCCTCTTTTCATCTGCTGCTCTATCCCGCCTCACCTGTTTCTCCACTTTCCTGTCTTCTCTGTTCAGGCACCATTGCCTTCCTTTACTGTGCTTTCTCGTGCTGCACACGCACCACCCCCACCCCCAGTTATCTTGCGTGACTCAGCCTGAGTTTGGGACTCCCTGAGTAGCCTCAACACCGATGGAAATGTTGATTATCTTGATGGTGGGGTTGATATCAGTTGCGTACATGCGTCAGAACACACAGAAGCGTGTACTGTAAGTGTATGTCATCCATGCCTTTCCTCTCACTGTACAGTTGATCATTTGATCCGGCCTGAAGTTCAGGGGTTTCTGCCCCTGCCTCACATTCTAACCATTCTTTAACCAGATTTGACTAATAATCTAATTATGTTTTCTCCTAGACACCATGTCACAAGAAGAGTGAGTGCTTCCTCATCTCCAGGATGGAAGAGTCCGGAAAGACTTTTAGCTCTGAGGAGGAAGAAGCTAGCTACTGGAAGGATCTGGCCATGACCTACAAGCAGAGGTCAGTCCTCCAGGTCCACCAGGGCTTCTCTTCCTGTGAGAGTGGCACTGGGCACTTACAGCACAGGCCTATCATGTGTTGGGCCTTGTGAGGGGCTTAACTTCCGCTATCTTGGGACCTGCCTGGGAGGAAACTCTTATCACTCCATTTTACAGATGAAGAAACTGAGCCTCGGTGAAGGCAAATAGGTCTGGCAGAAAGGAACAGAGCTAGAGCTTAGAGTTTAAACGCAACGTATGGTTTAAACTACTATGCACTACTGTCCATCTTATTTTCTCAGGTTTTTTTTTTTTTTGTAAATTTTGTATCTGGTTGCTTCTTGGAAGCTGTGTCTGCCTGACAGAATGCGTCCTTGCAGATCTCAGTGCCCTTGTCCTGGTGTGTGTGGGTCTGTGTTTGGTACATCAGTGCTTTACTCCCCGACACATAGGATCTCCACGTGGAGGCCTAATACTAGTTCTTTCAGGTTTGGCATTTCAAGAAAAAAAAAAGGCCCTGGCGTTTTAAGGACCAAGAAGCAAAAAAAAAAAAAAAAAAAACATTTGAGTTGAGACAGTGATGCAATAAGTGAACATTTTTCAGCATATCGCGTCTCTTCTGAGGATCCCTCACCTGTGACTTAATCTGCAGAGGGTGCCAGGTCAAAAGTCTAGTTACTTCCTGTCACGGGACAAACAGTATGCGGAATGAAAGACCAAACAATGGATTGCTTAAGAAATGGCTTTAGATGCTGGCATTGTGGCACAGCAGATGAAGCTGGCACTTTAGATACCAGCACTTCATATTGGAGTGCCAGTTAGAGTTCTTGTTACTTTGCTTCCAACCGTTTCCTGTTACTATACCTGGGGAGGCAGTAAAAGACGGCCTGAGCTCCTTGGCTCCTGCCGTTCATGTGGCGGGGAGACCAGGCTGGAGCTCTTGGCTCCCGGCTTCAGCCGGGACTGCAGCCATTTGGAGAATGAACCAGCAGTGAATCAGTGGACGATCTCTCTCCCTCTCTTGTCACTCTGCCTTTCAAATAAATACGTATATACGTATGTAAATATTTGGAAAAAAAATTTTAAGATTTATTTTTAAAAAATATTTTTCAATTGGAAAGGCCGATTTACAGAGAAGGAGAGACAGATCTTCCATCCACTGGTTCATTCCCCAAGTAGCTGCAGTTGGCTGGAGCTGAGCCAGTTCAAAGCCAGGAGCCTCTTTTGGGTCTCCCATGCGGTTGCAGGGTCCCAAGGCTTTGAGTAATCTTCCATTGCTTTCCTTGCTTTCCCAGGCCACAACCAGGGCGCTGGATGGGAAGTGGAAGTGGAGCAGTCAGAACATGAACTGATGCCCGTATGGGATCCTGGCACTTGCAATGGAAGGATTAGCTATTACCTCATTGTGCTGGGCCCTGGAAAAATTTTTTTGAAATAAGAAATGGGTTTGGAGTTAGGCACATGGGGTTCTGGCCCGAGTTCTGTTTTTTACTTTGTGTGACCACCTAACTTCAGTCACTGATCTTGTGCAGACCGCATCATTCATCTATAAAATGAAGTGGTTAGCTTCTGCTTCTAAAGGCAGCTGAATAAGATTTTCCAGCTATGAGGCACCATGGCACAGGTGGAGGGCTCACGTTTGTGGATCCTACCACAGGGCTGAGAACACACAGGAGGAGCTCCGGGAATTCCAGGAGGGCAGCCGGGAGTATGAGGCGGAGCTGGAGACACAGCTGCAACAGATTGAAAGCAGGAACCGGGACCTCCTGTCAGAAAATAACCGCCTCCGCATGGAGCTGGAAACCATCAAGGTGAGGGCCTGGGCAGAACAGCCAGTGTAGACAGGCTCCAGGTGTGGGCTGGGGTCCTGTAGGCCAGCTGCAGGGCTGTGAGAAGGCATCCCGCAGGTGTCCCCATGGCCTTTCTTGGTGGGTGGTGCCAGTCTCATAAGTCGCTTTTGCAGAATTAGCAATCATTACGTTACAAGGTGCAAAGAGATGCAGTCCAGTGTGGCAGCTCCTAGTTACTTGTGTCTATTGATGTGTGAATTAGGCAGAATTCAGTTCTTGGGCCACACTAGCTGTGCTACAAGTACTCGACAGCCAATGTCTGGTGGCTCTCACTGCTGGACAGAGGGGCCTCTGGTATGTTTCCATCAGCACCAAGCCTTCTGTGGGGCAGTGTCAGTCCAGAGCAGATTTCTCAGCTTTGATTTGACAGTCTTCCCCCTCATCTCTGGTCTCACTTTCCTGGCTTTAGTTTTGCTGTGGCCAACTGCAGTCTTAAATACTGAGTGGAAAATTTAGAAATATCATGCATTTAAAATACTCCTTGTTGTAGTATATTGCTGAGATTGTTCTGTGTTATCAGTGCCTAATTTGTAAATTGAGCTTGACAGGTGTATACAAAAAAATGTAATACATGTAGGATTTTATGTGCGGCAAATTGGAAATAAACACACTTGGAGCATTTTCTGCTACTTTCCCAGCCCTTAGCAGGGAGCTGGATGGGAAGTGGAGCACCTGGGACTTGACCTAGTGCCCACCCAAGATGCCAGCTACACTACACCACAGCAGTGGCCCCTCCATGTTACCTTTTGTAGGGCTAGCAGGTGACCACTAAATTCATGCTGTGCTCCACATGCTGGCTGACAGCCCTTGGCACTAGTCAGCACCACCAGGCTAGCTTTGTAAACATTACACATGTCTGACCCTTTCCCCAGCCCCTCTCTTGAGAAACTCAGTAAATCAGTGTTGGGAAGACACTGGTATTTTTGGAGATTTTGATGAGTAGCTAACAGGTTGAGCGACAGCAGCAGGCTGTACCAGTGCTAGGGATGGTGGGCAGTGAGGATAGCCGACTTGCCCCCATGGAACCTCCCTGGGGAGCGGTTGGTGGGAGATCTGATACCTGCTCACCGAGCTCTGTGAGCTTCCCAAGCAGCAGGGATCTGCATAGGCTGGAGAAGGCCCCATGTGGTGGGAGCGGGGGAGGGCTGGTGTTTGAAGGGCTGCATGTGTTGGTCTGTATGTGCATTGCCAACAGCTGCTACCCTGGGGGTGGAGTGGTGATGAAGGGGTCACCTGGATCTGTCCTAGACATGGGCAAGAAGGAGGGTTCCTGGGAGGTCTCAACCCGTGGGGGGCGGGAGCAGGGAAATTGGGGCCAGCATGTGGATTGGGGATTCCACAGAGGGGAGAAACCACTGAGGGTTCCAGCTCTAGGTCAGCCCCGAGAGCCTGCGTCTGTCCAGCCCACAGATGTCATTGGCTGAGTGTCCACTGGCCACCAACTTTTCAGCTATGAACATGCTGAAGCATGAGGCAAGGCGGAGGGCTTTCTGGTGAATACCTGGATACCCAGCAAGCGCAAAGCCTCAGCCTTGGCCTTGTGGTAGGTCCTCAGCTGTGTCTGCGTGGCCAGCCAGCCTGCTTTCTGCTGCACTGTGGAGCAAGCTGGAGGCATCTGCCTGTCTCCCTGATGCACTTCCGCCCGCTTACCATCAACCAGAGCTCAGGGTTTGTGTTTTTTCTGTAGCACACTTGACATCTTCAATACTTTGATAATAAAATTTAAAAAAAGTTTTATAGCATCTAAATTGTAAGACTTCTATAAAAATCTGCATTTCTGCCTTCCCTTGAGTAGGAAAGTCTGGACGGCCCCAGCCTGTGTCTCCCAACCAGCACAAAGCTGAGTGGTTGTAATAAGTGCTTCTCTTAGCCCTGATGCTGACAGCCCAGTGCCAGTTGCTTGTTGCCCCTCCACCTGGCCTGACCCCTGCTGGCTTTGCATTGGACCCCCACCAAGAGCAAGGAGGAGTCATTATAGTTGTTACTTAGTGCACAAGGTGGATTGGGTTCTAAGAGGCCCTGCGGGAATACCAAGTAAATATCAAGCATTTCTGAAGTGATGAGCTGCTTCTAGGCTGAGCCCTTGAACCTGAAGACAACCTCTTCGTTACAACTACCAGACAGACTCACTGTACTCAGAGCTCAGGGCAGGGGGCGAGACACGTAGGTCTCAGGATAATGAGCACCGTACCAGCCGCAGGCATCTGTCGGGCACCTCGAGAACCGTGTCCTGCCGAGACGGGCTTCATGATAGCTGGCTTATTCATCACTCACTGGACGGAATCACACAGAGCCTCTATTGAGGCCTCTGTCAGCTGACACTGGGTTATAATTAGCCCCGAATGGAAGCAAACGTTTCAGCCACAGCTTTTCATGTCCACAAGTTCAAAGGTGATAGTTGAAAAGTCTGCAGGCGTTGGTGGGGCCCACTTGTGGCATCCTGTTGGAACCTGTGTTTCAGTCGGGATTAATGACCCAGGACCTGGTTTTATTTGGAGGTATCACCAGATAAAAAGCTGAAGGTGGTCAGAGCCGTGCCTGGGAACCACTCCGTAAGTGGGGCCTGGTTCGCCTTAGGTGACAGTTACAGACACTTCCTTCCTCTGCTCACAGCCAGGAGACCGGAGTGTCTGAGGGGCCCCATCAGCCCTCCCACAGTCGCCCTGTAAAGAATGTGCTTATCCTTTGCAAGTTCCCCTGCTACGAAGGGCTCTTGCCATGCCCCTCTGGCCTAGACACTGTTACCTCTTTCTCCCTGGCCGGTCCATCCTGTATCTAGCATCAGTTTTGTTTCCTTGTGGAGTGAAGAGGAGAGAAGTTGGCCTTTATTAGCTTTTCAGATTTGACCTTAATTGTTTTCTTTCATGATTGTAAAATCTAAGGGTGATACTTGACGGAGGGTAAGAATTTGAAAGAGGAACAGAATAGGGGAGTGTGTGCAGTACCTTGAGGACCTGGATGAAATGATCAGGGCACTTTTAGCCTCCCTGTGCTATAAGCAGCAGTGCAGAGAGCCTTGCTTCAGCCCTTTGGTCCCAGTTGAGTCATAGAGCATCCTTCCCTTGTCGCTGAAGAGTGATTAAATCAGACAGTGTAGACAAAACGAGCCTGGGGTAAGTGCTCGCTGCTCTGCCTTGGCGCCCCGTAAAGAGGTCACCTGAACCCATCCATGCCTTTGGACAGCACTGGCCAAGCACCCTTGGTCATTGAGAGCAGTGGTTTTCCTATCTTTTTTCTTTTTTTTCTTGTTCTGATTCTCCCTCTTTTCCTGTCTTCTCTCTCAGAGGGCAGAGTTTGTTTTAGCTTACCCAGTGCTATGTAAGAGTGTGCTGGGTCAGATTTCAAGCACTTGAAGGGGCCAGTGCAGTGGCATGGCAGACTGATCTTCCGCTGTACCTTCTATCCAGCTTCCTGCTGATGTGCCTAGGAAAGCAACAGAGGAAGGCCCAGATCCTTGGTCCCTTGCACCCATATGCATAGCCTGGTGGGGGCTCTGGCTCCCAGGTTTAGACTGGCTTAGCCCTGGCCAGATGGAAGATCTCTCTGTGTCTCTCTAATTCTGACTTTCAAGTAAAATTTTTAAGAGCAATTTTCGAACTTAGTCTGTATACTCAGTTTGTGTAGTCTGTTCCTCTTTCGGGGAGGCACAGGCTGCTGGTGTCGCCAGGGTTGCTGGTACTCTGTCTACTCTGTCACACAGTGTAGTGTTGGAGTATAAGTGCCACATTGCCCTTTGGGGTGAAGCTTTTGCTAGTTCTGGATGCTTTTAGCAAAAAGAATTGACTTGCAGGTTGTTGGGGACAGTGAGGGTCAGGTTCTGTACTAGGTTGGTGACCAGGGGGCAGGAGGCACTCCGGTTGGTCAGGATGTGACTTTAAGTGACCTCTTCTTACTTCACAGTCACTCAACAATTGCTGAGGATTACACATCGGTGGAGAGAAAGTGCTTTCACAAACCTTAGGACACCTCCTTGGGGGAAGACTGGGACAGAAAGCCTAGAACAGCCTCAGTGAGTGGGATGGAAGGAAGAGTCCCTTTAGATGCTCTCAGAAAGGAGAGAGAAAGCCTCTAAAGAAATCGTAGTGTGGGAATGGAGAAGAGTGGATGCTCCATGGGACAGCATGTGCAGCATGCGTGCCAGGGTTAGCTCCGCATGGGTTACATCCATATGGAGGCCAGAGGGAGATGTGGACTCTGGTTACCAGGAGTTCTGAGTCATTGATTCAGTGTTGATTTTGTCCTTCAGGAAAAATATGAAATGCAGCATTCTGAAGGCTACAGGCAAATCTCCGCCTTAGAGGATGACCTTGCACAGACGAAGGCAATTAAAGATCAGCTGCAAAAGTATATCCGGGAGCTGGAGCAAGCCAATGACGACCTGGAAAGAGCCAAGCGGTGAGTAGAGGTGGAGGAAGCGGACCAGGGAACCTTTGTCCCTGCTGTTGGTTGCTGGCGCTGTGCTGAGCCTGGAGAACACAGCAGGAAGCAGAATGCCAGGGACCATGCATGACTTGAGGAGAAATGGACAGTTGGTACATCAGAGCAACGTGGTGACAGCAGGGACTGCTGCTGTCCAGGGTGCCTTGAGCATATCATGGAGAGGGTCATTGGCTGGCTGTAGAATGCCAGACCAAAGGCTTCCCAGAGGAAAATGCCATTATGGCTGAGACCACAGCGGGGGGTAGTGTGAGATCAGAGCATTTCCTTTATAGGGACAAGTATGGAAGGAAAGGAGGATATTTTAAAAATGGTGTTTTATTCTAAAGATGTGCTTACTTAGGAAAGGCAGAGAAGAGAGAGAGAGATTCTAGCTGCTGTTTCACTCAAAACAGCTGGATGTGGGTTAAGCTGAAATCTGTATAGAACAGGAGCCCAAGTGCTTGGGGCATCGTTTTCTGCTCCGCTCCCAGGCATATTAGCAGGAAGCTGGAGTGGAGGTAGAACAGTTGGCATAGAACCAACAGCACTCTGATGAGAAATTGGCATCACAAACTGTGGCTTAAATCCCCACACCACACTGCCAGCCTCTGTGTACTTACTTTGTTAAAATTCGAGGCACAGAGAGAGAGGAGACAAATACAAAGAGAACTTTCATCTGCTTTTTCACTCCCCAAATGCCCACAACAGCCAAGGGTAAGGAGCCAGAGACTCAGTCCAGGTCTCGCATCTGACTGACAGAAACTCAGCTGCTCTCATTGTCCACACTAGCAGGAAGGTGAAACACTGGAACTAGGAACCAGAACTGGGATTCAAATTTGGACACCCTAGTGGTGGGGGGCAGATATTTTTTTTTTTTAAGATTTGTTTTTATTTGAAAGGTAGACTTACAGAGAGATCTTCCATTTGCTCGGTCACTCACCAAATGGCTTCATCTGCTGAAGCTGTGCCAGGCCAGTGCCAGAACCTGGAGCTTCTTGCGGGGTTCCCACATGGTGCAGGGGCCCACGCATATGGGCCATGCTCCACTGCTTTCCCAGGCACATCAACAGGGAGCTGGTTAGGAAGCATAGCAGCCAGGGTTAGAACTGGCACCCATATGGGATGACGACACGACAGATTGAGGCTTAAGCTACTATGCCACAGCACTGGCCCTGAGCCAGACATCTTAACCACCAGGCTAAATGCTTGGGCCTCAACGAGTAGTGTTTTTTTAAGCTTGTGTTTAGGAGTTTAGCAGAATGGTAATGTTTATGGAATGATTTCTCTGACAATTTTTATTTTTGAAGAAAGTATTTTTTTTTTTAAATGATTTATTTTTATTGGAAAGTCAGATATACAGAGAGGAAGATCTTCCATCTGCTGATACACTCCCCAAGTGGCCATAATTGCCAGAGCTGAACTGATCCAAAGCCAGGAGCCAGGAACTTCTTCCAGGTTTCCTGCTTGGGCATAGGGTCCCAAGGCTTTGGGCCATCCCCAACTGCCCTCCCAGGCCACAGGCAGGGAGCTGAATGGGAATCAGGGCTGCTGGGATTAGAACTGGCGCCCATATGGGATCCCAGTGCATTCAAGACGAGGACTTCAAGCCGCTACTGCTCTGGACCCTGAAGAAAGCATTTTTACAAAATGTGTATCGGTATAGGGACAGGCATTTGGTACAGCGAGTAATATGCTGCTTGAGATGCCTGTACGGCATAGAGTGGTACCTGGTTCGAGTCCTGGCTTTGTTCTAATGTGTGTCTCCAGAAGCAGCGGAAGGAGGCCTGAATAGTTGGGTCCTGGACTGTTTTTTTAGGTCCCTGACTGAGTTCTGGGCTCCTGGTTTCAGCCTGTCCACTTGGCTGTTGAAGCGGCAAATGAGCAATCTCTGCCTTTTGCATAAAATGAAAATCAGTCATTTTCCGAGTGTATATAAAGTATACAGAGTGAAAGGGGTAGAGTTTGCTTGGTTGGTTTTGACAGATGCCTCCATTGGTGCAACCCACACTCTTCCTGAGATGGGCAACGTTTTCGTTGTGGTTAGGAGTTACAACACACATCTTCACTTTTAAGTCTGCTGTTAGTATTACCTCACTTCCTGCAAAATGTAACTGCTCTGCAACCTCATGGTTTCACTTACCATCCTGACTTACTAGATTTGCAGTCTCTATCACATCTACAAACTGTAGTTAAAGAGGGAAATTTTCCATCCCCTGTCTCATTCCTCAAATGGCTGTAGTGGCTAGAGGTGTGCCAACCCAAAGCCAAGAGCCCAGAACTTCATCTGGGTTTCACACAGGTGCAGGGGTCCAGAGATATGGACCATCTTCCAGTCTTTCCCAGACAAGTTACCAGGGAGCTGTGTGGGAAGCAGACCACCGGGACTCACTGGCACCCATCCACATGGAATGTTGGTGCCACAGGTGGTGACTTAACTCATTGCCCCAATGCCAGGCCCACTGCTTTTCTTTTTGAGTTCTTCCGATACAAGCGACACATGACCCAAAGTGGCACATTCTTTCTTGTCAGTTTGTAAGAGCACTTATTGTGGTTTTATGACTCCTCGTTTTACATACATTGAAAATACCTTTTTTCAGAATCATCCATATTCATGTTCCACCTCCCAGGGTGTACATTAGGAGAAAACTACACTGAGAATGGGGTGCCAGGATTCAAACCAGCTACTACAACACAGAATGTGGGCATCGGGCAGCAACTCCACCTTTGTGCTACACACCTTCTCCTATTTACTATTTTTAGGTTATCAAATACATCTCATACTTCGCCCCTCCTCCCCCTACAAGAACGTTCTGTATCCACTATTGTACATCTTGTTTTTTCATGTAACGATAGATCTTGGAGATCTGTTTGTATTAGGACACAGACAACTCCTTCTTTCCCAAATACATAATGGCTGATTGTGTGGTTCGTGTTGGCGTTGTATAATAATATAATTTATTTGTCCAATGTCTTGGGGCTGGGTGGATATCTGTTTCTTTCCATTCTTTTGCAGTGACAAAACAACTCTGTATTATAACTTGGTACAGATGTCAGCTTGTTGGATCTGCAGATCCATACCTGTATGATTCTTTAGATGTGTCTGTTGTCTGCATGGCTGTTCAGATTTTTTTAGTTGCAACAGCTGTATAGAGGAGTTCTCATTTTCCCAGCAGTTTACTCATCCATGCAGAGGCTTTCAGTCCTTGTATTTCTGCCAGCTGAGTAGGTGAGGAAGAGGTGCATTTCTGAATTGAGTGACCTGGAATTTCCTTTCATATGCTGGGCAGTTGTCTCCTTTTCTGTGAACTCTGTCCATCTTTGCAAATTGGTTGGGGCTTTTTTTTTTTATCCTTTCTAGGAGAGTTTTGTAGTTAAAGTTGTGAGTTACAAGTGTTTGGAGTTTATCTTCCCTCTATCTTTGTTATTGTTTGTTCTGGGAGCCAGTTGATTCCCTTGTAGTTAGGTTCATGAGTCAGCTATGGTTGACAGCCCTATCACTTTGTTGTTTATTTAAAAAAAAAATCACCTAGCCGTGTCCGGCACGGTAGCCTAGAGGCTAATGTCCTTGCTTTGCATGCACCGGGATCCCACATGGGCACTGGTTCTAATCCCGGCGGCCCCAGTTCCCATCCAGCTCCCTGCTTGTGGCCTGGGAAAGCAGTTGAGGATGGCCCAAGCCTTTGGACCCTGCACCCACATGGGAGACCCAGAAGAGGTTCCGGGCTCCTGGCTTCAGATCGGCTTAGCTCCGGCTGCTGTGGTTGCTTGGGGAGTGAATCCGTGAATGCAACATCTTTCTGTTTCTCCTCTTTTCTATACATCTGGCTTTGCAATAAAAATAAAGTAAATCTTTAAAAATAAGTTCATGAAATTTTCCAAAAAAAAAATCACCTAGTCTATGTCTTCTTCCAGTATTTTTGTATTTTTCTCTTTCTCTTCCTTTTAGTTTTACAAATGATACACGGGATTCACATTTTGGTCAAATGCTAAATAACAGTTAATATTAGATGGAGTAGAAGTTCAGATCACTTATAAGAAATGAATAAATTTCCAGAGTATCAATGTTGTAATTTTCAAAAGTCAACATTTTTAAAAATTGTTTATTTGAAAGGCAGAGATCGTCCATCTACTGGTTCACTCCCGAGTGCCTGCATCAGTCAGGCTGGGGCAGGAGTCAAGAATTCTACTCCAGGGCCCCGAGTGGGTCACAGGAACCCAGGCAGTGCAGCCATCAGCTGCTGCCTTCCCAGGTGCCTTGGCAAGAGCTGGATCAGAAGCGGAGTAACCAGGGCTGAAACTGGTACTCCGGCATGCAATGTTGGCATATCATTATAATCCACTATAATCCATTATACTACAACACCAACCTCCGGAATGTTTTTAATTGTTAATGTTATAATTTTTTTTAAGATTTATTTATTTTTATTGCAAAGTCAGATATATATATATATATAGAGAGAGAGAGAGAGAGAGAGAAGTGGTGAGACAGAGAGGAATATCTTCCATCCGATGATTCACTCCCCAAGTGGCTGCAATGGCCAGTGCTGAGCAAGCCGATCCAAAGCCAGGAGCCAGGAACTTCTTCCGGGTCTCCCACACGGGTGCAGGGTCCCAAAGTCTTGGGCCGTCCTCGACTGCTTTCCCAGGCCACAAGCAGGGAGCTGTATGGGAAGTGAAGCAGCTGGGATTAGAACCGGTGCCTGTATGGGATCCTGGTGCATGCAAGGCAAGAACTTCAGCCGCTAGGCCACACCGCGCTGGGCCCTGGTCCACCTCTTGTCTAGCTCCCTGCTGATATCCCAGGTGGGTGGGTGGGAGGACGGGGGACACACCGATGAAGCTCCTGGCTCCTAGCTTGTCTGGCTCAACCTTGGCTTTGGTAACCATTTGGGGAGTGAACCCAAATAGATGGAAGATTTCTCAATCTCTCTCTCAATCTCAGTCTCTCTCTTTCTCTGCCTTTCAATTATGTAATTAATTAAAAACTGAGGGACAGAGAAGGTGGTTTGCCCAGAGTTAGACAGATGTCTATTACAGTGCCTCAGTGAAATGTCCCTGCTTGCAAGAAGTGGTGTTAGCAAGGTAGCTGGCTGGAGTAGCAGAGCTGTATAGATTTCTAACGCAGCTAAGAAGTGAAAAATGGCCTTTTTACATGATGAGGTGCAGATGGTTAGATTGCATGTGTGTCTTCCTGGGCCATTGCACATTGTGAATATTGCTTAGAACTTTGCGCTTCCAAGAAAAGGCAGAACATGTTACTCAGACAACTGGATGCTGTGAGCAGTTCTGATGAGGCCTTGGCTCACTGTCTGGTGCTGAGTGGACGTTAGCTTGACATTCTGCAGGTAGATTTGCAGGCGCAGAAAGCGAGGGGGCTTGACTAGCACTGTGGCCCTGGGAAACCCCAAGCTGGGACTTGTGCCCAGTTCTCGCCAACCTTTCTCTCTCCTGGGTTTCTTGGTACTGGATGGAGTCTCCTGCTTGCCCTCTCTAAGCAGCTGCTTCTCTCTTACACAGGGCCACGATCATGTCTCTGGAAGATTTTGAACAGCGCCTAAATCAAGCCATTGAAAGAAATGCCTTCCTGGAAAGCGAACTTGACGAGAAGGAGAATCTCCTGGAGTCCGTTCAGCGGCTGAAGGATGAAGCCAGAGGTCCGGAGGCCGTGGCCTTGTCTTCCGTGTCTGCCCCGTCATTGCTCTCTCTCCTCTTCCTGCAGCCTCTCCCAGCACTCTGTACACAGGCCGTCTGGGCAGGGCATGAGGGGCTACGCCATGCTTGGCCTCCAGCCAGTGCTCAAAACTTTCACATGTGCGACCTCGTAAAGACAGCCTCCTGACTTACGCAGAGGTGGCCTTGGAGTTCTTGGAGTAAGCCCTTGGGTTATGGCTTTGCCTCTGGACAGCAGAATTCACCTCAAGGAAGATGCTTCTCAGGGTGCAAGTCACACATGCTGTGCTGCTTTGAGGGGAGAACACTCGTGTGAATTGCGGCCAGCCTGTGGGGTGTGTGGCTTGGCTGAGAACTCTGAGAACATCTTCCTTTCCTTTGTGAAGGTGGTGGTTCCGGAGGTGGGGCTTTCAGACTGGAATAGGACAATCAGTCTGTCACCCACACTAGGGCACCCAAGATTTAAGTTTGAATAGTTTAAAACATTCATTTGGTTTCTAATGTATAGTTCATCAACGGACAACTAGAAAGAGAAAAAGAAGTAGCTGTTGATAATTTAGCAAAGTGGTTAAATGGATTTAATTTTGTAAAATGTTAATTACTGCTATAGCAAAGCATTGATATAAATGTGGTCATAGAAAAATTGCCTGGAGAGAAAAGGGCAAGTTGGAGATTAGAGGTGTTGCATGTTTGCTTTTATGGTAAATGAAAATGATCCATCTTTGATGTTCCATGTGATACACACAGGGAGACAAGTGCTTCATGGAGTTGATGCGGAACAGGTTAGTTTAGAGGCAAGCATTTAGCCTAGAGATTAACGTGCCCATGTCCTGCATTGGAGCGCCTCGGTTCGATACCACGCTCTGGCTCCTGACCCTTAGCTTCCTGCCAGTGCAGACTCTGGGAGAGGGCAGTGTTGGCTCAAGTAGCGGGGTTTCTGTCTCCCAAGTGGGAGACCTGGGTTGATTTCCTGTCTGTAGTCTCTGGCTTTGGCTCCTGCCTCTCCTCCCCTCTCATCTCTCTCTTCTTCTCCTCTCCCAGATGCCTTCTCTCTCCCCATATGTCTTCTCTCCCAAGATACAAAACAATTAAAAATTGTTTGAGATCAAATATATGAGGGATGTTCAGAAACCTCAAGGAGGGGATACCTATTATTATGAAAAAGCTATGTATAGATTTCACATTTTTTTACAACAAAACATTTTAAACCCCCTTTCTATGAACTTAGTCAAGTGCCCTCATATGTATAAGCTATCTTTAAGAGACAAGCAAGCAAACGTGTTGGAGTGTAGAAGGTATCTGGGCATGGGTCAAGAGGGCATACCTCTGATTCATGTCCTGTGTGTGCCACCATGCTGGGTGGTTTCTAAACAGTAAGGCAGTAGTGTGTCCCAGACATCTCTGAAAACACTAAAGCCTTTTGTGTGTGTGTGTTTTTCCACACAAAACAACAACCTTGTGGTTTTAGGAGTCTGCAGGACAGGCTCATGTGGGTCTCCTCCCTTCGGGTGCTTCTACCAGAGCTGTCCATCTGGTGACACTCTTCCCTCCCCTGTCCCTTCCATGGGAGCCCCCTCATCCCACCAGCCCAAACTCAGGACATGAACCTCTGAATCTATTTCCCGGCACAGATTTGCGGCAGGAGTTGGCCGTGCAGCAGAAGCAAGACAAACCCAGGACACCCATGCCCAAATCAGTGGAGACTGAAAGGACAGACACAGCTGTACAGGTCACTGGCTCCGTACCGTCCACTCCCATCACTCATCGGGCACCCAGTTCCAGCTTCAACACACCAGGGGCCTTCAGGCATGGTAAGGGCACGAGGATCTTGGCATTTCACCTCAGCAAGAACTGGGTGAGATGATTTGAAGCAGAGTGCGATCTGAGATGCTGTTGGCTGCTAGGACACTGAGGTGCAGGGAAGGAGCATCCTGGATGTGGTAGTGGGATCTTTGGAGAGGTACAGAAAGAGAACCCTAGTTAGAGGGGTTCTGCTCATCCCTTAGTTTGTGACGTGGGGGTGAGAAGGTTGGTGAATGTTCCAGAATCCCAGGATGGAGTAGTGGTCCACACTTGAGGCACATGGCTCACCTGGGGTAAGATTGGATAGGCCTGGGATGGGCCCAAGATTCTTGTCTTTTTTTTTCTTCTAAAGATCTGTTTATTTTACTTGAAAGAATTACAGAGAGAGAATGGGGAGAGACAGAAATTTTTCATCTGTAGATTCACTCCCCAAATGTCCGGTATGGCTAGAGTTGATCTAGTCCAAAGCTGAGAGCTGCGAGTTTTCTTCCAGGTCTCCCATGTGGCTGTAGGAGCCCAAAGACTTGGGCCATCTTCTGCTGCTTTCCCAGACACCTATGCAGGGAGCTGGATCAGAAATGGAGCAGCTGGGACATGAACTGGCACCCATATGGGATGCCAGCACCACAGATGGAGAATTATCTGGCTATGCCACCATGCCAGCCTTGAGATTCTGCATTTCTAACCAGTGCCCAGGTGATGCAGGTCCAAGATCCACTTAGAAGAGCAGCTCTTCAGACGGAACCCTGGAAACTAATTAGCTGTGGGGATATTCAAAGTGCTTGGGACCAGAGGTGTTTCAAATTTCAGATCCTTTTTTTTCCTCTTAACTTTTTGTGATATTTCCATATACATGATGAGCTGTTTGCAGATGGAACCCAAGACTACACAGGAAGTTCATTTCTTTCATTTTATTTGTACCTCCCACACAGCCTGGAGCTGATAGAAACATTAATAATTTTGTGCATGAAGTGAAGTGTCATGGCATGAAGGTCCCCACTTGTGGCATCGTGCCCATGCTCAGAGTTCCGAATTTTGGAGCACTTCATTTCATATTTTTGGATTAGGGATTTTAGGAGGACTACTTTTGGTTTTGCTGAAGAAGGCTAGCATGTGAAAGTGAGCAGTAACTCTAGCCATCCTAAAGAGTGCTGTGTTCCGAAGTTAATTCTGAGGACAGCGCCCTTCGCACGCCCTAGCTGCCTGCTCCGCTGCTGTTGGCTCATGTGCTCTTTGCACTTTCTTCGGTACATACAGGTCTGGATAGCTCTGCTGGTGGGACCCCACTCACACCTGCTGCCCGGATATCAGCCCTCAACATCGTGGGAGACCTGCTGCGGAAAGTTGGGGTAAGACTGCCCTTCAGGGTCAGGGTTCTCAATGCCAGTCCTCGTTCCCTTGAGTAGGTATTTGAGCAGGGTTTTTTTTTTTTTTAAAGCTTTATTTATTTTTATTACAAAGTCAGATATACAGAGAGGAGGAGAGACAGAGAGGAAGATCTTCCGTCCGATGATTCACTCCCCAAGTGACCGCAACGGTTGGTGCTGCGCCTATCCGAAACTGAGAACCACAAACTTCTTTCCAGGCCTCCCACGTGGGTGCAGGGTCCCAAGGCTTTGGGCCATCCTCAACTGCTTTCCCAGGCCACAAGCAGGGAGCTGGGCGGGAAGTGGAGCTGCCAGGATTAGAACCGGCGCCCATATGGGATCCCTGCGCGTTCAAGGCGAAGACTTTAGCTGCTAGGCCAGGCTGCCGGGCCTGGTGCGTGAGCAGGTTTAAATGTGGCTGGTGTTTAGCATGTCAGAAGGTCATGGAGCCCCTGTGGGCAAGGCTGTGGACAGTCATGCAGAGCTCTGAATCTGTGCGCTGCCTTGATGCCTGGGCATTTTTGTTTTGTTTTGTTTTGTTTGTACCATTCTTTCTCTAGTCAATTTGTAGAATGAGATTGGTATCCATGTGCCCTTCTCACTCCCTTAATTTGGTGGGGGAGGAAAACGACCTGAGGGGAGACATTTAACTATTTAAATATCGCCTTCCTGGTAAAAGAACATCTTCCAGGAATTGTATTAATTACAGCAAGGGATTCTTTTGTTCTTAAGCAATAGTAGAGATACTCTCTGTAGTTGTTTTGTTTATTTTAAAAGCAACAGCTGGACGGCCATGTAATTTAAATCCTGGCAGCTTGTCCTCAGGTAATATGCAAGTGTATTCAAGGCTGCAATGTCCTGTAAGTTTGGAATGCATTCCTAATGGTTAGCTTTCAGTTGCCTGATTTTTTGTTACATAAATGGGTCCCTGAATGTCTAGCCCAGGGTACAGATAAGCCTTGCCTGGCCTCACTGCCTGTTAAGTTTCCTCATGGCCTGCTTATCACTACAACGCCAAGTTCTCTGTTAACTCCCTGCCCCACTAGGTGTGTTCAGTAAAGCAAAGGAAAAAAGCAAATGATTCTAAAAGTTCTATGTATGTTGCTGGCAGAGTCAGAGGATAAGTAGAGCTAGTAATTCTCCAGAGTTTTATATTTTATTATTATTATTAAACAGTTTTATCTTTGAGAAGCTGAACAATGGAAAAACAGCAGAAGACAGATTGTTCACATTCTTTGGTTCACCCCCCAGATGCCTATTAACAGGCCAGGGCTAGGAGCTCAGTCCAGGTCTCCCGTGTGGTTGGGATCATCCAAGTGGTGTGAGCCACCACTGCTGTTCTCTAAAGTGTGCATTAGCAGGAAGCTAGAGTCAGGAGCCAGAGCCAGTCTCATCACACCCAGGTATTCACTGAAGACATGGGCATGTGGGCACCTTACCCCTGGGCCAACACCTGTCACCTCTGGGCAGGTGGTTCCAATGTGTGAACATATGCTGGATTCCTGTCAGGTGTCACCTTGGAGAATCCTTGTTTTAGGTTCTCTCCTCTGCAGGGACTCCTCTGAGAAGGAAGGGTGGGAGATGAATGTGTATCTTTTCCCAGGCATTGGAGTCCAAACTTGCTTCCTGCCGGAACTTCGTGTACGATCAGTCCCCAAGCCGGACGAGTGGGCCAGCCTCAGGACAGGGCAATAGGAGCAGAGATGGCAGCGACAGACGGTCAGGCAACACCAACGTGCCTTTGGGTGACAAAGGGTCAGTGCCTGTGAAGCACCTCTTGGTAGGGGGGCGCCTATCTACTCGGGTGGAGTCGCTGACCCTGTCTCATAGTCCTTGTTGTCTCAGCTGCAGGATTACTTCAGCAAGCCTCATTCTCTGCTTCCTTTCCTTGAGACAGAATTAGCTGCTGTCTCTGGTGTGGGCAGTTAGCCAGAGAGGGCAGTGAGAATGTTCTGTGTATGCTACTCTCCCCCAGAAGGAGAATTTCTGATTGGTTTTTTTCCTTATTTATTCCTAAATATTTATTTCTTTGTTTTTGTTTATTGGAAAGAATAGCTAAGAGAGAGCTATCTGCTGGTTCACTTCTCAAATGACTGAAGCCAGGAGCCTGGAACTCCACGCACCTCTCCGTGGAAAATAGGGGCCCTAGTATTTGAGCCATTACAGCTGCTTTCCAGGCACACTAGCAGGGAATTGGATTGGAAGCAGAGGGGCAGGCAGGATTTGATCCCAGGCACTCCAGTATAGGTTGTGAGCATCCCACGTGGCCTAACCCTACTGGGTTACAATGCATCCCCCTCCTTTTTTTTTTTTTTTCATGATAAATTTGAAGAGCACACTGCTATAGTCAGACTAAATTTTTGAAACTCTTCACCCAGTTAGAAGACACAGTTATGACCTCTAACAGCTTTATTGTCTAACTTAAAACCAGGGTAACATCTAGATTCAGGGATTCTGTGAGACCAGCTACCCGTTGCCTGGATCCTGAGCCATGTGAAACTGATGGGTCCGTGCCAACACAACAAATTTAAGAACTTATTTTCCATGGCATGTAGTTAACATTTGAATGCGTTAATGTAGATTTTGTTGTTGTTATTACTTTTAATTTTTAGTCTCTCAAGAGACAGGAAAGAATGAACTTTTTTCTGCTGGTTTGCTCTCCCCAGATGGCTGCAACAGCTAGGACGAGGCCAGGCTAAGGTCAGGAACCTGGAGTTCTATCCAGGTCTCCAACATGAGTGGTAGGACCCCAAGCACTGATGCCATCCTTTGCTGCTGTCGCAGACACCGGAAGGAGCTGACTTGGAAGTGGAGCAGCCAGGGGCTAGAACTGGTTCCCACGTTGAATGTCAGTGTCACAGGTGGCAACCTTTACACGCTGCTCTGCAATAGCAACCCCAATTTTTAGTATTTTTTAATGGACAAATAAGAATTGGAAGTTTTTAGAGAAATTCCTGAGATGGGCTTTTTGTGTTACCTGGGGAATCTTGAAAGCCAGATAGCTAGTGTCCTTTTCTTCGTTTCACAGGAGAGAGACTTGAGACCCTGAGACCCTGCGACCCTGCTCCCAACTCCTGATCCTCTTAGAACTCTGTAGTTCCCACGCTAGCTAGTGTGTCATGGCCATGCTTTCAGCTTAACTTGGTTTGCTCTGTCTGAAGGTTGGGAAAACGCCTGGAATTTGGGAAGCCGCCTTCGCATATTTCTTCGCCGCCGCTGCCGTCAGCCCAGGGTGTAGTCAAGATGTTGCTTTAGGAAAACCATGGAAGCTTCCGGAGCCCTTGGTGTGTGTGTGTGTGTGTAGGCATAGTTGCTTTCATCTCCCTTGTCACGCTAGGTGTCTGGTTTCCTTAAGTTAGTTGGAAAAATGCGAGCCAGAGGTCACCATTGTTCATTTTTTTGTACTTTGTGGCCCAGACCTGTTGAGGCCTTTGCCGTGGTTCCCAGCGTTTGCCCCTGTACAATGCCGCCGCAGTTCCAACCTCCATGTCAGAGTGTGCATCGTGAAGAGACAGGAGGGGCTGTGAGTGGGGCTGACAAGGATAGCCTCTTGTTCTGAGCATGCCCAAGAGTACTGGGTGGCTTTCAGAGGGAACTTTGAGTGCCTGGAGTCGCCTTCCTGCTGGGATCAAAGCCCATCCCAGACCTGCTCTCTGCACAGCCCACGTTCAGCTGGAGTTCTCTTCCAGAGGGAAGTCTCCTACTGCTCGATGCGAACAGAAGTCATGTTTGGGAGCAGAGAACTGAAGAGGCCTTGGTTTGAACCATGGTCCTGTACCTTTGGGACTTTTAATGCGTCTCTCCTGAGATTTTCAGGTGAGTTTCAGAATGATTTTCAGGTGGCCAGGGTTGGTGGGAGGTGTGCGTCTTCAGGCAAATCCTGAGTCCACCGCCATGGCGTGAGGGTGACTTCTGTGTCACAACCTTCGTGAAATGACCAGGGCCTCCCAGATATGACTCAAACCCAGGATTGGGATTAGAAGTTTCCTTGTCAAATGACGGGACAATGCAGGATTGCCAGTGCTTGCCATGAGCTGCTGTCTCACGCTTCCCCACGCCAGGCAGAAGAACACACTAATTTCAGAAGCATGTGTACAGCTTAATGGCCTTCATTTTGTTACTCGATGATTTTTCTAAGAGAACTATAAAAATATTGAGTTGGAAATAGGACTTTGCAAGTGCTACTGAAATAAAGCAGATTTTATCCTGACATTCTAACCCATATTGGCAAAAATGTACTTTTATTTTTCTAAAAGAAAATAAAATCCAAAGGAAGTCGCAGTCAGCTGGCGTGTGGTGTAGTGAATACAGCTTTGATGTTTGTACTTAAGATTTGCTTGTATGATGATGGAAACTTTTAAAATTGTAAGATTTTTTTGTTTAAAAAATATTTGAAAGGAAGAGTGAAAGGAGAAACTGAAAGAGGTTTTCTGTCCACTAGTTCACTCCCCAAATGTTCATAACAGGCGGGGCTGAACCAGGCAGAAACCAAGAGCCTGAAACCTAAAACTGCATCTAGTTCTCCCATATGGTTGCAGAGGCCCCAAGCACTTTGGTCACCTTGGATTGGAAATAGAACCACTGTTTCTCAAGCCAGCACCTGTATCAGGTTCCAGTGTCGTAGGCAACAGCTTAACTCTCTGCCTAAACTCTGGCCTAACCTTTGTTTTCAGTCAAATAGAAACCATGAAAAATGTCTGCTTTTTGAAATTGTATCCAAGTAGGCTCTTCTAGAAATATTTTTTGAATAGTTCTACCGTATTCCAAAGTATGTCAGCCTGTTGGTCTTCTAGCTGGTTTTCTCTCTTAATTTCATGTACTTGAGCAGCAGAGAGCTCATTCTTGGATGACATCACCCAGATACCAAACAGGGCTGGGCCAAGGCTACAATAAGGGACTGGAAACTCAATCCCATTCTCCCTGTGGGTGTTAGGGACCCAGCCACTCAAGCTTACTACTGTCTTACAGGGTCTGCACTGGCAAGGAGCTGGAGCCATGAATGCAACCCAGCCTCTCTGGTGTGGGATGCATATGTCTTAACCAGTAGGCAAGATGCCTTCTCTCTTGCATTCTTCTTTATCTCCTCTTAAGACTGTTTTATCCTCATGTCACACTCTGGACTACATTGTGTTGCATGGAAGCTTTGCAGGGGTGCAGGGAGTGAATGGCTCACAACCTGCTTAGCCCTCACATTGCAAATGGTTTTCTATAAGAAATTAAGGTGATAATGTGACAGTTGACACTGGATCCTTCAAAGGCTGCAGGATGGCCTTTTACCATTTGGCTTTTACGGAGTTGGCAGACTTTTAATTTTACATTAAAAATCAAGGCAGTCTTGTATTTCATTTTATAGCTTAAGTAATAATTTATGCAAAATGCTGGGGACCATGCTGTTTCTGGTTTTTTTTGGGTTTTTTTGTTTGTTTGTTTGTTTGTTTGTTTGTTTGTTTTTAATATGTACCTATCCTTCTTTGAAAGGCAAGTTAGAAACAAATCTTCCATTTTCTGGTTAGTGCCCCAAATGGTCACAATGGATAGATCTGGACTATGCCAAAGCCAGGAGCTTCATTCAGATCTCCCATGTCAGTGACAGGGGTTCAACTGTTTGGACCATCCTCTGCTGTTTTTCCAGGTGCGTTAGCAGGGTGCTGAGTTGGAAATGAAGCAGCTTAGACTTGAATCCAGTATCCATTCAGGATGTCAGAGGTGTTGGCTTAACCTACTATTCCCCAATACTGACCCCCCTCCCCTGAAGGTAACTTTTAAAATTTTGTTTATTTTCATCTATTTGAAAGGAAGATCAACTTAGGTCTGTCTGCTGTTTTATTCCAAATGCCTGCAACAACTGGGACTGGGCCAGACCAAAAAGCAGGAGCTGGGATGGCAACTCAGATTGCCCACGTTGGTGTCAGGGACACAAGTACTTGACCCACCACCTGGTGCGTGAAGCTGGGCCTGAAGCAGTAGAGGCGGGACTTGGCCAAGGCATTCTGACATAGAATGAGGACATCTTAACTGCAGTGCCAAATGCTTTTTTTTTCTTGCAAAGTCAGATACATAGGAGGAGGGACAGAGAGGAAGATCCTCCGTCCAATGATTCACTCCCCAAGCAGCTGCAGCGCCAGAGCTGAACTAATCCGAAGCCAGGAGCCTCTTCCAGGTCTCCCACATGAATGCAAAGTCCCAAGGCTTTGGGCCGTCCTTGACTGCTTTCCAAGGCCACAAGCAGGGAGCTGGATGGGAAGCAGGGTTGCTGGGAATAGAACCAGTTCTCTTATGGGATCCCAGCACATTCAAAATGAGGACTTTAGCTGTTAGGCTACCACGTCGGGTCCAAATGCCTATTTCTTGAAAAAATTTATTTGGAAGGCATTGTGACACAAAGAGGGCTTCCTTCTGCTGGTTTACTCCCTAGCTGCCTGCAGCAGCTGGGCCTGAATCACTCCAGGAGCCTAGAACTCCCTGCCAGTCTCCTATATGAACGGTAGGAGCCCAAGCAGTAGCTCTCGTCTCCCTGTGCTGTATTGGTAAGAAGCTGGATTGAAAGCAGATTAGCCGGGACCTAAACCAGGCATTCTGTGGGTTGTGGCTGTCTTGAGCAGCAGTCTGACAGGCTAGGCCACAGCACCTGCCCCCTGAAGGTAATCTCATATGATATTCTTAGTGTGCCTGTATTTGTGACCTCTCCCCACGAGGTCGGGTGAGGAATTTTCCTCTTAGAGCACCATGTCTATACTCAGAAAGTTTCAGAGTTTTGTACTGAGGATTACTCAGTCTTCATTCAAATTTGGAAAAATGGAACTGAAAGACAAGTTTATTTGGTACAGAAAATGAAATATATGCATAGTTTTTAAAAGATTTATTCATATTTATTGCAAAGTCAGGTATACAGAGAAGAGAGACAGAGAGGAAGATCTTTCATCTGATGATTCACTCCCCAAATGACCGCAACGGCCGGAGCTGCCCCGAGCCGAAGCCAGGAACCCAGAGCCTCTTTCCTGTCTCCCATATGGCTGCAGGTTCCCAAGGGTTGGGCCATCCTAAACTGCTTTCCCAGGCTACAAGCAGGGAGCTGAATGGGAAGTGGAGCAGCCGGGATTAGAACCAGCACCCATATGGAATCCTGGTGCATACAAGGTGAGGATTTTAGCCACTAGGCTACCGTGCCGGGCCCATATGCATAGTTTCTTATAATACGCATTTTCTGTGAACATTTTGCAGACCCTGCATGTCATATATACACTGATTTTTACTGATAAGGCTGTTTTACCTGGTCCTGTTTAAAGGCAGGAAGCAGTGCTCTGATTCCCAATTCGTAGAGCTGCCCACCTCCTGCATAGGGAAGCCGCCTTGGCCAGCATCACTCTGCATTTCTGCTGCTCTTCTGGCCAGCTGGGAGAGCTTTAGTTTTCCCATCCAGAAAATAAAACCCCGTCTTTATATGGTTTTTGCGAGAGTTAAACCAGGACCCCAGCTCTCCCCTGTTCCATTTGCTCTGTAAGAAGACAAGAGGCGAGCACGTTCTTGTGACCTATTATGACCTTTTATTAGTGAAGGTGTCCAGAAGTACAATTGGGTGCACATAAGACAGTGGACCGTCCCTGCTCTTGTCCATGGAACAGTGTCTCCTCCTCACTGCTTGTGACTACAGAAGGCACTTGGGCGGGGTGAACTGTGCATGTCTGAGGTGTGGAAGCCAGGACAGGGAGCAAGGATTCTCAAACCAGAGCCTTACTCGGGGAGTCAGAAGGGCACACGGGTTAGGCAATGAACTGGGAGCGGGGCAGTGGCACCTGTCGTGGTGACTTTGTCCCCATGTCATGTAAACGAAGTTGCCAGTGACTGGTTACCATGGCTGCATTTTCCTCAAAGCTCTGCCCAATCCATCTCTAGAGCAAGAAGGGAGTGTTTGTGTTCCTCTTGGGATTTTCTCCTTTGGCACATCATAAAAACGTAAGTTCTGTTCCCAGACTTGAGGGCGGTGGTTTTTATAATCATCGTGAGGAGTGTCTGTGATGTTTGAGATTTGAAAACGGAGTTGGATCTGCTGGGTTGGCTTTAGTTGATTTGTCCTTTGGTGAGGTCTCTTCCTGCTGTGGTGCAAAACTCGTTCATTCACTGGATTTGGTTCCATTGAAGTCTGCATCGCGAGCGTCCACTTCCTCCTCAGAACCATCTGCGTTTTCAATAACTCTACGCCCCCCAGACCTTCTAGAAGGAACAAATGAGGTCTCGTTTCCTCGCCTATGGGATTCAATAAGAAAATAAGTGTTACAGAAAGCCCTCTGGTGTTGAAATAGATTTGGCGGCGGGGGCAAAAAGCGTGGGTACAATACAGCTGCGGGTACTGGGCCTGGTGTTGATAAATTCTGGCCATTCTTAGAGTCTGGTTTGGTTGCTTACGTATCATCAGCTGCAGTGGTGGCAGAGCAGAATTTTGTCTGTCTTAAAAGCAAGTTTGTTTCAAAAAAGCCTGGCTTTGTTTTGATGATGCATAGGGTCTGTTGCAGTCTTTGGTTTAGGATAAAAAAAGGCAGGTGGGGGGAGGCTGCATGTTCCCAGACTCCAGTGGGGCAGGCTGAAGGAAACCTAGCATGTTCTCACCTCCCCGTCCAGAAGGAAAGGGGGAAAAGGTTTTAGGTTCCCAATAGAAAGGAGTTGAACTTGGACAGCCATGGCAGCAGTAAGGGGAAGACATCCCAGACCCAGAAAGGGGCTCCCTGGTGAAAGGGAGAGGGCGCCCCCTGCTGGTACAGAGATTCCTGGTCCCCATTCCCCCAATCCCCGTAGCAGTAAGGAATGCTTTTTGCTCACATCTGTTGTTTGCTCCCCATGCTTGACATAAAATAGTGTTTATGAGGCAAGTCAGCGGAATCTTAATCCATGGTGGACTTTAGCCCCATAGGCAGGGTTACCCAAACCCTTTCCCGTTATCACTCAGTTGGCCCCAGTGTCACAAGGTGGCCAGGTCAGGGAGGGAGGCAGCAGGGGAGGAGAGAGAGCCATCTGCAGGTCAGTGACCTCAGCAAACTCTCAGGTCAGACCTGGATGACCTGAGTTGGAGCACAGGACTTCAGAGGACATGTGAGAAGGATGAAGGATCTGCAGATTTTTTTAGGAAAGTGGCCAGCTCACCAAAGACTAGAGGAAGCCAGTGAGGACAAACCTGCCCCAGAGGCAGCAGCAAGGCCCAGTGGTTTGTGGTAGCCCAGAAGGGGTGTCCAACCTGAGCCTCTTGGTTCAGAGTGTGGCACTTCCTGAGGTCAGCCATCAGGAATAGATACTTAGAATTGCTAGCAACTCCCAGGCCAGCTTTGCCACGAAGCTGCGTGGCTTCCTCTGCCTTTGAACTCACTCTTCATCCCTCGTTCTAGAAGTAGCCTCCCCTGCCATGTCTCATATCACTGTGTTGCCCAGGAATCAGGGCCAGAAAGAAGATTCCAAGTTGTGACTGTTCTATGGGTTTCTGACAAGCTGAAGTATAGCTTAAGGGTGGAAAGGCAGCCCCTAAGATATACTGTCCCTCCTCCAGACACTGTCCTTGGCTCCGCGGAAGGTCTGTGTTTGCCTGTTAGTAGAGAGTGTTGGATAAATGTGCTTGCTCCCATGACCTAATATCCGGCCCAGATCTTGTAAAGCACTCCCCTATGCCAGTCTGTTCTGACCCAGGCACCTTTCCTTTAGGAATGGCTTTTAAAATCCCAACCTACACCTACAGAAAGAAAGGAACCTCACTAAACATTTCCTTTAAAGTGTCCATCTCTGAAGAATTTGGATCCGTCTCCTGAACCCTGAGAACTTATCCAGGCTGACCAGGCATCAGCATGCAGGTGCAAGCCCTGGCTACTGTGCAAGGACTTGGCTTCCTAGGGACAGTGGAACTCTGCTGTAAGCATCCCAAGGCTCCCCCATGAAAGCTGTGCCAAGACCTCACCCAACTTTAAGTATTGGGTGGCAGTGGCAAAGCCGAGATTGGCCAGAAGATAAGATGGACTTAAGCCAGGGCTGAGAGACGATGGTCAGGCCCCTGTGTACAAATACGTTGCTTAAGCCCCAAAGGTGGCCTCTTTGCTCTTGGGAAAGTCCCTGTGTGTTTCCTTGAGTCGGTCATCCATTCCTGTGTCCTCGAATGCGTTCATGTCCATGGGCCCTCCAGGAAAGGCCCAGTGAGCCCATGCTAGACTCTCATAGCCACTTCACCCCCGTGCACTGTAAAAGCAGTTAGCAGCCAGACCGTGCCCAAGCCTGTGCAGCCGCAGTACGGATCAGACACGGCTGTGACGGCACTTGTTCTCCATGCCCAAGTCTGTGAAAGCTCAGTGGTGCAAGGACAGGTGGCTGCACCATGGTGACCATGAACCTGTGCCTGCTTGTCTCCCAATCTGTGACCCAGACCAGCCAGCTGGAAGCCAAGTGCACTCTCTGGTAGTATACCAGCCTGTGTGGGACAGAGGGGAGAGTAGCACTGCCTGTCAAGCCTCCTCACAGCACCCAGGTAAGGGCACTTCACATGCCTAACACAGAGCCTCTTGAATGTCATATGAGATATAGTGGTGAGGCTGCGTGGCAGGTGCCGAAAGGAGGGGAAGAAAACAGATTAGGAGCTGAGGTTGACTCGTGCTGACATTGGCTTCTGATACAAGTGTGTTTGGGACTGAGACATCCAAGCCTTCAGACTTTGTAGGACTTTCGTGGGGATTTGTGAGGGCTTTAATAAAAACAGGCGGGGAGGGTAGGGGGGCAGAAGGAGTGGAGGGCGCTGGGCAGAAAGGAAACAGGACTGAGCTTGACACACAGTGGCAAAGCCAGAGGCATAGTACCTGGTGAGTCACTGCGAGGTTTCCTGTTGGGGGGGCCCTCTGAAAGAGAGAGAGGGGGCCCCAGTGGTTAAGCGGGAAGAAGCCAGATCATTTAAAGGCAATTGCTTTCATTAAACCCTTAAAGGCCTTTTTCAGTCAGCCTGAAAAGCACCTGACATCCAACCCTCAGAACTGGACAACCTCAGGACCAGCAAGGGGTGTAAAAGGCTAAAACTGCTTCTGAAGGACTCTAAATCCCATCATCACACAGCTGTTGTGCAAGGTAAAGGCCTTTCGAGTCCACAAGGTCCATGTTGGAACAGAAGCAGGAGGGGCCCCTCAGCTACATCACACCTCATAACTGGGGAGGGGGAACTTTGCAGCTCCCATCGGCTCTGACCAGCAAAATATGGCAGGTGTCAGAGCCATTGGTCTGGTTCAGAGGGCTGCACTGAGGTTTGTGGAGAAGACTGCAGAGCTGGCTGGGCCGTTGCATAATCAGTGAGGCTGGGTTTAGCTGACCTTCTGCAGCATTCCAGGAGCTAGACGTATTTCTGTGCCTGTGGAAGATTCAGAGAAGGGAGCCAAGGGCTGAGGTGCTGCTAGTCTGATTCCATAGAGAGGAACCAGTGCTGGGGCAATGTCTGATGTCAGCATCTATGAGGCACTTATGTCCACTGTCATTCCCTTTTTAGCTAAGGAGTAGGCCTCCCTCTATCACCAGTTTGTGGTGACAGTAATTGTGCTTAATGTCACTGTGCCCTGTTAATCCCAGTGATCTGGTTTAGAAGGTCAGGGATGGTACTGAGTTTTATTTACAAGTAAATACATGCATGGTAAAAATGATTAAGTCCAAGGAAGAGAACAAGGGAGCTACAGTACAGGGGGTAGAAGACCAGCACAGATGATCGGGTGGCATGGTAATGACTGGGGGTGGAGAAGTGTCATCCAGGACTCGGCGTTCCCATGTGCCTAGCACTGGCCCCGGACACTGGCGAAAATAAACAGACGTCGTATACAGGATGGAGGAGATGCTTTGAGATGAATATGAGTTGCATGCCAGTACAAGAAAGTAAATAAGGGAAGTGGGATTGGGAATTTCACAGGGATAACTTGAGTAAGGATCTGAAGGAAGGGAGTGAGTGAGCCAGCTCTGAGTTGAGGGGAAGTTCTCCCTGGCAGAGGTCAAAGGTAATGGGGGACAGCAGATAGCAATACATATAGGGCCTAGCAGCACCAACCATTGTAGAAGCTTTGGCAAAGTGAGGTAGAAGCCTCTATGGCTTCTGAGCAAGAGGAGCAATAGGGTCTGGCATCATTGCATTGGGCTCCCCATGGCTGCTGCCGTGAGCACAGGTTGTTGGGGAGCCCTTATAGAAGCAGGAGGCTGACAGAAGTGTTGTCTCACAGAGGAGTCGTGGTGGCAATGGGCCACTGTCTGACAGAGGAGCCAGATTCTGCATATAGAGTATTTGTAAGAGAAGATGGACCAGATTTCTCCAACAGCAGAGACAGCGAGCAGAAGGGAGACAGAAGAGAGAAAGGTGAAGACTGACTACAGTCTTTGGGGTCTGAACTGACAGCAGCTCCTTCCTCCCAGGGGCCGAGCTGGGGAGGAGTGTGAGGATGGATTTGGGCGCATAGGGGCTTGCTCAGGGCAGGACCCTTGAGGTGTGAGCTGCCCGTCATAGCTGAAGAGGGCAGCCCAGCAGAGCTGGAGCTCCGGGAGGAACTCCCAGGCTGCAGATGGATGCTTGGAGCTGCTTGGTAAAATCCCCTAAGATGAACAGAGCAAGATGGGCAGGTTTTCACTGGGGAACTACCAAGGAGATAACAGGAAGGCACACAGGGGAGGGTGGGACCTGGGAAACCCAGGGAAGAAAGTACATGGAGCGAGAGTGAGAGACATGTGGGTCATTCAGCTGCTGAGGAGTCAGGGACCAACCGACCATGGGTGCTGAGAATGGGGCTGCCAGCACCTTTCCTCAGAGCTCTTGGGGGTGGGGGGAAGTAGGGAAAGCTTTTGCAGCTGAAGGGACAACCTGAGAGGGAAGACAGCAGAGGAGGAAGGTAAGGTTTTCCAGAAGACAGTAGGTCTGGTGGACCTGTTGGCCTAATACCAGCACAGGGAGCACAGGTGGAGGGAGCTGGCCTACATGTCTTACTGGCATCTGTCTCAGTTAAAAAAGAAGCCAGGTCATGGGCTGCAGGTAGGATGAGTTCGAGTGTCCCCTAAAAGCCTCTGAGTGGGGCGAGGCCTGCCTAGTCGCAGTGAGGTTGAGTTGCAGCTGTGGGGAAGGCAGGACATTAGGGCTGTGCTTTAACCGCACAGGTACAGTAGAGCAAGAGGCAGATCTGGGTTCAGGCGGTTGCGGGGGGGCAAGGATTTAAGCTGGCTTCATCACTGGTGGGTGCTACAGCAGGAGGGCATCCACGGAGTAAAGACCCCAGAAGATAGAACTAGTGACCAGATGACCAGCAGTCAGGTTATAGGGGTTCCAAGGTTCTGGCAGAGCCCAAGGAAGAGGGTGGGCACAGATGTCAAGTGTCCCTGGACTGTGCCTGGGTGTTCAGATCACCCAGAAGAACCTCGAGTGATGTGGAAGCTAAATGGGAAGGCCAGAGTTGAAATTTCAGGCGGCGTCACTGGCACGACAGTGGGTAGGCAGGGGCTACCCAGCCCCTTAAGGGTATGGGAGGGAAAAGCCCCACTGTGGCAAGGACAGGCATCTGGGCCAAGGGTGACCAGCTCTAGGGGACTCCTGGCACTGACAGGTTATCATAACTGTGTGTATCGGGACAGGGGTTCTCATTCTGTGCCGCCCGCGGGTGCCTCGAGCAGTAAGCCCACAGTGTCAGCAGTGAGAAGAAACCCAGACTGGAGCAAGAAGGAGCAGAAATGGGTAAGGTTAAGAGGGAACTTTACAGAGACTTCCAGAGAGAGGATACCCTGACCATCTCCTCAGGAGGCTGGGCTGGGAAGCAGCTCTTAGGAAAGTAGCAGCTCAGCTTCAGGACCTGCTGCGGGGCTGGACCCCTCTTGTTCCTGAACAACACAGTGCACAGCAGGGGCGAGCGGCGGGCTCTCACCTGAGCTTGCTCTTGAGCGCGTTCACCTCGCGACCCATGGCCTCGTTGCTCTCAGTGGCCTCATCCAGCTCGCGCTGCAGCTTCCTGCGGTTGGCATTGATGCGCTGCGACTCCTCCTCTGCCTCCTCCAGCTGCCTCTTGAGCTGTTTGACCTTGACGTTTCCTTTCTCTGCCTGTCAAGGAGAGAGCGGCCACAGGTAAGAGGCTGCAAGCCAGGGAGCTGCAGGCCTGGGGGAGGCACAGGGGCCAGGCTCACCTGCTCCTTGTACTGCTCGGCCATCTTGCGCTCATCCTCCACCTGCAGCAGCACCTCCTTCAGCTTCTTGTCCCGTTGCTTCAGAGACTTGGTCATCGCCTGCTTCTCTCTGCACAGGGAGGGGTACCGGAGATGGTTTCAGACACAGCTGGCTCCCAGATCCTGCATGCTGCCCTGAGTCTCCCCCTGGCTCAGGACAAATCACCAGGATGGGTCAGGTGGGAGATGGGAACCTTAAGATCCAGCTGAGTGAGTGAAGTAGACTTCAGAGGTCACAGGCTGTGTGCCTGTTTCTCTAACATCCAGAGCAGGCTACTCAGTACAGATGACAGATTTGCGTTATGGAAAAAAAGTCTGGGACCAGAATTGGGGGCGGTTGGGGGCTGAAAGGTGCTGAGAATGTTCTCGCCTGGACTTTGGTGACCCTTATGCATGTGCCTGACTCTGCCAGACATCATTGGAGTGGACACTTTGGAGGGATGAACCGCAGGGTGCATGTGTGATGCACCAAGCTGCTGCTAAAAAGGACTCTGACCACTGCCTCAGTTCACCCCTAATTTAGTTGTCTGTCCTTGAAGATTTACTTACTTATTTGGAAGCTATAGTGGAGAGATGGAGATTGATCTTCCATTCGCTAGTTCACTTTCCACATGGGAACAATGGTCTGGTCAAAGCCAGGGGCCTGGAACTCCATCCAGATCTCCCGCATGTGTGCGGGGACCCAAGCCCTTGGGCCAACTTCCGCTACCTTCACACACACATCATCACGGAGCTGGGTTGGAGGTGGAGCAGTGGGGATTCCAAACCAGTGCTCATGGGATGATGGCATTGAAGATGGAGGCCTAACCCATTGCCCCTCAGCTCTGACCCCAGATCCTGAATTTAGGGGAAAGGCCTTTCTGTGCATGTGCTGAATGTAACAGAATGTCCCTGCAGTCGGAGGTTCCCCTAGGGAGCAGTGCCAGGATCCAGCTCCCTGCTAGTGCACCAAGGGAAACACCAGAGGATGGCTCTAGTGCTTGGGTCCCTGCACTCACGTGGGAGACTCTGAAGGAGCTCCTGGCTTTGGACTGGCCCAGGTGAGTCAGTTGGGGAGTGAACCAGAGAACGGAAGATCTCTTGTTTCCCTTTCTGCAACTCTGCTTTTCAGATAAAAATGAATAAACCTTTTTAGACATAAGCACCATGTGGTCTTGTGAAGGCTGACGAGGGCCATCACGACACCAGGAATGGCCGATGTCCTAGGAGGCTGTTTTAGGCCAGGCAGAGACACACGGCACTTAGCCGTTTCCACTCATTTCTCGCAGTACCCACTGCATGGGTGCCACTGAGCAAGCTGCTCAGAGCTGGCCCCGGTCACCAGCAAATGAGCTGCAGTTTGGAGCTCCAGGCGCCTCTTACCTGGCCTCCTGCTCGACCTGCTCCTCCAGCTGTGCAATCTTGGCCTCCAGGGCTGCAATAGTGGACTTGAACTTGGACTTGACCGCCCCCTCCATCTCCTGCAGCTTGCTCCGGAGCTCCTTGTTCTGCCGTTCGAGCTGCTGCCGTGCACTCTCGTTCTTCTGGGCCGCACTGCGCTCTGTGGCCAGCTCGTTGTTGAGCTGCTCAGCCTGGGGAGGAAGGTGAAGGATCGTGAGGCAGAAGGACACAGCTCCTGCACAAGGCCCTCCGCCTTCATCCAGTTTATGAACCTTCTCCTCCACAGGCGTCCAGTGCCGCCCAGGCCTAGCCAGGGCCTGTCCTCAGCTACCCTTCCCATCCTGCGGCCTAGTCCCAAGCCTGCTGTCCATCATATTTGAGGGGCTTTGTGTCATGTGATGGGCTGCGGTGCTGGTCACACAGTAGATGCCCAGCAAGCATTTTCACTCCAGTGGAGGAGTCATACACCCTGCAGTGTGGCTCTTGAAGCTCTGAAGGCCAGCAGAAAGGTCTCAGGATCATGCCACCAACCAGAGGAGACCTGGGTCTCTGCATAGAGGTCTTCTACTGTCCCCCTGCCACTTGGGGACTGCACACAGCAGGGCAGGCCTGTGACAAGAGATGTCCAGGGCAATGTGAGGCTCCAGGGCCAGTGGCCCTGTCCATCCTGCTGAGGTCCTCATGTGCTCTGAGCGATCAGAGAGCACTGGTCTAGTGTCTGACAGTGGATCCCTACTTGGGGCAAGGAACAGCCGCTGAGTTTGAAAATGCCAACATTCCCAACAGGCCTGCTTCCTGGAGCCTTGTGCTGCCGGCTTGCCTGGCCCTGGGCAGAGGCCCTAGGCCTTGTGCAGCACGCACCTGCTGTGTGGCTTTACGGACACGGTCATTCATGGTCTCCATGTTGCCCTGTTCCTCCTCCAGCTCCTCCTCCAGCTGTGCGATCCGGGCCTCTAGGCGGCGCTTCTCATCCTGCAGCGCGTTCCTAAGGGCGACACTGGTGTTGGGGGCCTCTGCCCTCCGCTGGGAGGAGCAGCTCCCCAGGGTCGCCCTCATCTTGTAATTGAGGACCAGAGGACCCATCCAGAGGCAGCAGCTAGGAAATGAGGAGCTGGGACAAGGTGGGGACTGGCTCCCCTCCCTGATACTGCCCAGCAACTCCTGGTGCACACCTCGCTGCCCAGTTTAGATGAACACAAATCACCATGCACCCAACAAGGAACCCGAACATCTTGAGGACAAGGCCTCTTCCCATCACAACCCCAGGAGAGCATTCGGCATTGTCCCATTAAAAAGGCCCAGGCTCCCATAAGCTGTCAGCTTCCCCACCCTCCCAAGTAGCCCCATACCTTCCGGACAAGCTGCTGGCCAGCTCCTCTGCCAGCTCCTCCTTCTCCAGGTCTGCCTGTTTGCGGGCTCTTTCTGCTGCGGCCAGATCCTGGAGGCAGAAGGGAAGCTGCTGTCTGCCTGGAGAGGGCCAGCCAAGTCCCAGCCCCTTGAGTTCACCCTGCCTCTGTGCCCAGGAACCTGCCATGTCTGGGATGACCCTTGAACATGAGCATTTCTCCTCTGAGCTCAGGGGAGGCCCCAGAAACACATCAGAGAGAGCTCCTGTCTTGGGGTGCTCTTGTGAGGGAAGCCCACCCATGTGAGATACAGAAAGAGGATACCTGGGGAGCTACGGTTCCTCCCACCAGGACCTCCACTGAGGTTCTTGTGGCCAGAAGGTGGCTTTACCTCTTGTAACTGCATGAGGTCTGCCTCCAGACTCTTGGCTTTCTTCTCGTTCTCTTTGGCTGTGGAAAAGATCTCGTCCCTGGAGGCACGGGCGTCGTCCAGCTCTCTCTGGAAGTCCTTCATCTGAGCCTGCAGGAAGTAACAGGTAGAACAAGCTAAGCAGCCCTCACTCGCCCCTAGTTCTGCCGCCCAGCTCAGCTCTGCCTACTAGCAGGGTTCTTTCTGGGGCCCCAGGTAGCCAGGCTCAGCAGGCCTAACCTGTAGAGCCCCTGATGACCGTGCCCGATCCATGCACAGTGGGAAAGTGGCCTCCAAAGGCTAAATGGAAAACGGGCTGAGCTGGCACTGACAAAAACAGGTGGATCTACTTCCTGCAGCCTCTGAGGGGATGGGGCTCAGGAGGGTGGTCACTCACCTGCAGCTTTCGAAGCTGCTTGATGGCCTCCTCGCGCCCTTTGATGGCCGAGTCGGCCTGAAGCTCCAGGTCCTTCAGGTCGCCCTCCAGCTTCTTCTTGGCCGCCGTCGCCAGGGCACGCTGCTTCCGCTCGTCTTCCAGTTCCGTCTCATACTCGTGAAGCTGAGCGAGAAGCAGAGATGTGTGCTGCCCGGCTGCCCTGGGCGGTGACTTCCCCATCCACACGCAGCAGTTCACACGCTCCCGCCTGCATCCCCCCAGTGGGGCGCACCTGTCTCTGCAGCTGCCTCCTCTTCTCCTCGTTCTGCTCGTCCCGGGCCTGGAGATCCCTCTCGAACTGGCCCTTGAGGGCCTGCATGTTGACCTCCAGCCTCAGCTTGGCGTCCTCGGTGGCTTGCAGCTCGTCCTCCAGCTCCTCCAGCTGTGTCTTCATCTCCTCCATCTGCGTCTCTAGGGCCCGCTTAGATTTCTCAAGCTCGTGGACCTAGGGGACAGCAGAGAGCACCTCTGATCTGAGCTTTGCCTCTCGAAAGATGGCTCAGAAACCCCCGGGGGAGGCTAGGCAGGAGAGGTAACTCCAGCCTGTGCTCCATTCCTGATCACCACCCACTGTGAAAGAGGCCAGGCTCCCCTTGCCCCAGCCAATAAGCCTCAAGGGAAAACAGTGGGGAAATGAAAACCAAGCAGAGATGGTCACAGGTCACTCACGTTCTTGCCCACGTCGTCCTTGGAGCTGACCAGATCTTCCATCTCAGCCTTGAGCATTTTGTTGGTCCTCTCCAGCTCCTCCTTGGCCTCCAGGGCTTCTTCCAGGGCCCGAGCCAAGGATAAGGCCTTGGTCTCCTTCTCCCTGGCTTCGGCCTCAGCTCTGTCCCTTTCGTCTGCGTACTTGGAAGAGATGTTCTTCTCCTCGGCTAACAACTGCAACACAGAGAAGACTCAGAGGTATCATTAGTGGGCACCCCTGAGGTTCACTGGGTTGCCAGTTCAGAGCAGAATGGCTGTAGGTCTGTCTGTGTTTAGGTGCCGGCAAGTCATGAGGCATCTGCACAAGGAGCAGATAACGCCCTTGCTTCTGGCTCTCACCGCCCAAGGTCAACTGGATCCTTGGGCTTGGAAATACTTCAGGCTGCCCATGACAGTGAATGGCCGCATGACCACGGCTGAGGCCAAAGTGACATGTCAGCTTGCCAGAGGCCAATTACTCCTTTGTTGTTTCATGGCCACACATAACTATCTTACAAAAGGGCCCTAGGAAAATGGGAAGTATGAATGGACCTGTACCTGTTGAGCCTTTTGCTCAGAGAAGCAACCCAAAGAACATTCTTTGCTGGCATCAGACTCCTCCTCAGAGGGCCAGGGAAGTGTATCAGACTGTCACTTCTAAAGGCCAGAATTCAGACAAGGCTGAAGCAAGGACTCCCCCGAGCCACAGCACAGAGCAACTCATGCTGGGTTTGACAGGAAAATGATAGAAGCCATCTCAGGCCCTGGACAGATGAGGAGGGAAGGTGGTGGAAAAGGGAAGGAACAGGAAGTCATATAGAAGCTTGGAACATGGGGACCAACTGGAGAACCCCTCCATCTGGGACATCCGGCCTCATGGTGGAATTCCCCAGTGACCTTAAAGTACTTGGAGATGAAGCCGTTTTAACTAAATACAGGTAGCATTCCTCAACCTGCTTTGAAACAGGTGTTTTGAGGACCTAGCCTCAAAAAGTGATTATAAAGTTCCAGACTTTGGAACATCGCAGATTTCAGATGAGGAGAGTCAACTGGTAAGATCTACACACAGGTTCCAAAATGAAAAAAAAAAACCAACAACCTCTGAAGGCAACAACATTTGCACCTGACCCTGTGGTGCTGGGATCTGCTAATGTCCACACTGACCTAGCAGCTCTCGTATTTCATCGTCTCCCAAAGCCAGAGAAGACGACTTGTCAGGTGTTGACAGGATGCTGTGTGGGATACCTACATCCCATCTCAGAGTGCCTGCTTCCAACTTCCTGCTCATGGGTACCCTCTGGGAGGCAGCAATGAGCAGTGATGGGTACCCAAGGGAGCGGCTCCCTGCCATCCTTGGGGGAGACCCAGATGGAATTCCCAGCTCCCGACTGCTTCTCTCTGCCTTTTGACAAAAGCCTGAGGCATTTTCAAGAAGGAAAACTAGCGTTCCCATGCTTCCAGTGAGGCAGGGATGGGATGCAGCCTCCAGTGCCACCCAGCCCTACATCCCACACCAGTGTCCTGGCATGGAGTGCAGGCCGCCGCAGCCCCCACCTGATCAAACTTCTTCTGCTTCTTTTCCAGGTTGGACACCAGTTGCCGCTGGTTGTCCAAGTCCACAACCAGGTCATCCAGCTCCTGCTGAAGCCTGTTCTTGGTCTTTTCCAGTTTATCGTAAGCAGCTGCTTTCTCCTCAAACTGCTGGGTGAGACTCTCAATTTCCTTCTGGAACTTCTTCTTGCCTTCTTCCAAGGATTCCACAGTGCTGGCAAAGTCCTGCAGCTTCTTCTTGGAGTCGGAGAGCTGAAGAGGAGTAAGAGAAGTCCCTTGAGTGATTCCCCAAGGACCACTTTGTCCTCAGTGAATAGATCCAACAGCAGGGGAGGCTGGTGAGCTAAGCAAAGCAGAACCTAACGCTCAACCATGGAGTAAGGACCATGACAGCACCTGGATGTTCAGGGTGGAGATGTGACGCTCCAGGTTCTGCTTGGCCTCTGTCTCCTCATCCAACTGCTCTTGCAGGCTGTTCCTCTCGTCCTCTAGCTGGCGCAGCTTGGTGGACACATTGAGCTTCTGCCTGGTTTCTTCTTGGAGCAGCTCCTACAGAGGACAGGTGAAGGGTTCAGGGATCCACCCCAAGGAAGGCCATACCCAGGTGCCCCCTCCCCTCTCAAACTCTGGCAGGATACTCACCTGGGTGTCCTGGAGCTGGGACCCAAGGGACGCCACCTCCTTGGCCAGCTTGATGGCCTTCCCCTCGGCCTCAGTGAGCATGCCCGTGACACTTTCCACTTCATTCTGAGGGAGACCAGAGCCTGGTTAGTGGAAACTTCTAGAAACAGAGCTTCATTAAAGATGAAACTGTCCTTTTTGCTTCACATACATTCCATATCTTCATGGGACCAGACATGGGGTGTCCAGTGATTGTAACAGTCCCTGATGACATTAGCTGTGGCTCTGAAGGCAGATTTGCCACCTGCATGCCAGGGTCTCTGGCCCAAGTCTGTGGCTTCTTGGAATTTGTTGGGGCCCCAACTATGTGGGCTGGTCCCTGACCCCCACCAAACAGGCAGAGAGAAGCAGTGAGCCTGGGAGTCCAGATGCTAAAAGCCATCCAGGCTGATGTATTCCTGACACTGGAGAGGAACACCTCAACTCCCCAGGGATCTCATCCCCACCATCACCCTTTTCCCATCCAGAGATGCAGACCCAAAGTGTCAGAGTCCTTTGCTGCAATGTCTGCCCCTCCTTCCAGCCACTGTGATTGAATAGCAGGGCTGAGGGGACCTCGGCCTGCCACCTGCCTCTTCCCGTCCACAACAAGGATGTGTGTGACCTTGACTCCACCCTTCCAGGACCTTGCCTTTCCTAAGGAGGCAAAACTCCTGCCCTCAACTACCTGTGGGAAAAGTGTCACACTCACTGCCTCCCTGTCCCACTGTCCTGGGTTGTGAGCGCATGAAGTATTTATCAGAAGTGAGGCCACCTCCTGGGAGCGAAAGGTCAGACCACAGGCGTCTGCAAAGTGCAGTAAAGGCCAATCATACGCAGGCCATGACATTCCTCTGCTGAAAGCCCTTCTAGGATATCCCGGCACCCAGAGGAAAGATCAGCAGCGTCAGCAGCCACTCCAGGTTCACCCTCCACCGTGCTGCTCCTCCCAGCCCTGCTCTGCTGGCCAAATCCAGTCTCTTCCAGTTCTCCTGCTCACCCCTGGGCTTTTGCACAGGCTCTCCCTTCTTCCTGGTTGACTTTGACTTACCCACTGGATTCTATGTCTGCCCAAGGGAAGCTTCTTCTGCCTCCTTCTGCCCAGGCCAGGCCCCCTTGCTGTCAACACTAGGACAGCATGAGTCTCCCCTGTCCTGTAGGACTTCACACCCACAGATGTGATCATCAGCATCTCCCAAGAGGGAGGAATTCTGCTGGGACAAGGACAGCATCTGCCCTCATCCTCACTCAGGGCTGTGTCTCAGTGCCTGCATACAGCAGGTGCTCAATAAATGCTTGTTGGACAAAACAGATGAAAGCTTTCTCTGAAAGACTGAATGGGACAGAGAGGCCATGTCACCCCCTCAAGGCTCCTTCTGCTGGTCCCAGGCGGCCGGGAGGCGGCCCCTCACCTGCAGCTTGTGGACTTTGTCATTGAGCTCCGCCCGGGCCCGCTCGCCATCACTGCACTTGGACTGCAGGTCCTGCAGCTGCACTTCCAGCTTCTTCTTCTTGTGCTCCACCTCCTGCTTCGCCTGGCCCAGGGCCCGCAGCTCGCCAGCCAGATCCGCGTTCTCCTTCTCCAGTGTCTGTTTGGTCTTGTCGAGGTTCGCCTTGGCCTGCACGAACAAGCAGAGAGGGCAGGGAGGCCTGAGACCCACAGCTACCAAGGCACCTTCAGGCGGGAGCCACAGCTGCTTCGCTCCCTTGCTGTGCCGGGGACCGGTGCCCGTCATCTCCAGGCAGAGAACACGGGATTGCCACCAAGACTGCAGGTCCCTTCTGACCCCTCCACTGCAGCTTCAAGCAAATTCTAATAAATTTTACATGAAAATTGGGAGTCTCAGCTTCACTTTTTTAAAAAGTCGTATGTTCTTGGTCATGACTGGTGCTAGTTATAGCAATGGGGATTTTGTTAAGATCCACTGAACAGTGGTAAACTTCACTGGGCATACCTCAGTCCAAAGAGCTAGAAACCAGGGCTGGCCTTCCTCTAAATTAGTCATCATTTGGGTCAGAGTGAGGACTGGCCTTGGACACGGGGCAGTTAGACTCCACTTGGCCCAACTCCCCAGGATTTCCTGTTGTCCTTTTATCATCAGTTATACCCTGCTAGATCTGTCAATCAGAATGATTTAGATTTTAAATTATTTTGGATTTGGGCATATTTGCATTTGCACATTGAGGCACCTCGGAGAGGAGACCTGAGTGTGAACATGGAATTTGTTCATGATTCATGTATGCCTTGTGTATAGACCTGCATCTGGACCCTAGGATGGCATAAGGCGGGATCTTCCACTTGGGGCATCCTGTGGAGCACTCAGCATTGTGGATTTGGTGCATCTGGCTTTCAGTCTTCCCGAGGAGGGAAGCCCAAGCCGCCATTAGGCGAGGCTGCCAGCGTGGTGCTGGTCCATACATGGTCACGGACCAGCCTGCTGCTACATACCCTCTTGAACTGCTCCAGCTGCTCGGTGAGCTCCTCCACAGCCTGTGTGTGTTTCTGCCTCATCTCCTGCACCTGCGCCTCATGGGACCGCGTCTCCTCCTCCAGAGCTTTCTTCAGCACCGTCACCTCCTGTTCCCTCTTGGCCCTGTAGGAAGGACACAGGGGATGGCCAGTGGGTGGAGACTGGGGTTCACCCTTGACCCTGCTGTGCCCAGGAAGGAGTGCTCTCCCAGGGTGTAGAGCTGGAGTCCCCATCACACCCCTCCCTTGCTGTGTGATCTTGGGTGATTCCGCAAACTTCTCAGGGCCTGCAACTTCCTTCGCTGCTAACGCTGAATACTGGCTCCTACTTCCTGAACACTTGTTCTGTGCCAGGCACTGAGCTAAGTCTCACACAAGGGCAGCCCAAGGGCGATGTTTTTAGCATCTCCTTCAACAGTTTTTGATTTTTCTGAACATTTTACAGCTGGCCTGATAGCAGACAACTGAAGGAATGGGCAGCCTCTGAATGCCTTGGTCCCGTGTCCACAGGTTCAATCTACCGAGGAGCCAAGATGTTCAAACCAAACACTGGGTCTACACAGAACACATAGAGCCTTTTTTTTTTTTTCTTTTTTCTTGTCATTTCCTAAATCAGGCAGGCAACATCAAGCCTGCGGGCCTTGTAAGTCACTTGGTCTGGCCTCTCCTGGGCAACTATAGGTGGGACCAGAAATCTAATGCACCTGCAGTTGGCTAAATTTTTAAGTGGATCATTTTGAGTGGCCTGGGAATGATGTCACAATCAGCCAAGTGAACAGAAAGCAGGTTTCCCGGCCCTGCCAATAGGATGGTGACCAGTCCCATGGCCTTCGCACTGTATTCGCGCCTGCCTATCACCTGGGATTGGGTGAGAGGATGTGGGAGGGCGCACACAGACACTTGGGCAGCCATGGTTCATGACGTCCACGGGCTTGGGGTGACTGTGATGGCATGTCCATCAGAGCCAAGTGTGAGTGAGCAGGTGGCCAGGCAGTTGGCCTGGCTAGCCAGGAGCGCTGTGAGACCCCTCACCGGAGCTCCTGCTGGGTGGCCGTGGTGTCCAGCGTGTCCTCCAGCTCTGTCTTGAGTGCCTCCAGCTCCTCCCCCAGGTCTCGCTTCTGCTTCTCAGCCTTATTCCTGGCGGCCCGCTCTGAGTCCAGGTCCTCCTGCAGGTCTGAGATGTGGCCCTCCAGCTCCCGGATCTTCTTCAGGGCATTGTTCTTCTGGGACATTTCATCCTCCAGCCTGCCAGGGACCAGGATGAGTGTCAGAAGTGAGACCCCAGGATGCCTAGCCCTCTGTTACCTCACAGCTTAGTTCCAGATCGCTTCCTGGGATCAGGTACGGGTACTGTGTGGATAGCAAAAACACACTGCAGCTACACCACTTAGACACCAAGCTGTACCGCTTAGACCTTACACAGGATGTGACTGCCAAGGCCAAGCCCCTGCTGTGACACTGCCCTCCCTTATGAGTGCCAGCTAGAGTGCTAGGGGACTGGCCAGACAGCTGTAGGGCTCACACCTGAGCTCTGCCTCTTGCAAGCCCTGGGACAGACACCTGCTCCTTTCCCCTCTGGGAGGCTCAGCATCCTCTCCTGGGAGAGGCAGGGAGCAGCATACACCTGACCAGAAGAGGCTGCTGGGAAAAGAACTTGGCAGGGTAAGCAAATCAGTCACCTCTAGGGCCATTGCTCCCACTGGGTCCCCAGAGTGAGACCTGCAGTAGAAAGCCAACCCAGAGCCAGGAAGGAGGGATGTGCACCAGGGGCTGGGTGGGAGTGCCCATGGAAGGGACTGTGAGGAGAACCAGGGCTGCTGTATGTGGTGGGTCGGAGTGGGGAGAAGGATGCACAGAACCAGGGAGGAGGGACCCTGGGAAGGCAGGTCAGCCCAGTCTTAGAAGATGCTGATGGAAATGAACTCAGTGGTAACTGGAAGTTCAGAACAGGAGCACAGATGAGAAAGGCCTGTACAGCCATGGAGGGCTGGCAACACAGAGGGAAGAGACTGGAAAAGAAGATGGTGCTTACAGGGTGAGGGGGTAGGGATCCAGGCAGGCAGGCTTGCAGAGTGTGCAGAAGGTCTGGCCTGGGAGACTAAGTCTGTGCCAAGGGCCTAAGGCCCCCTGAGCCCCAAGGTAGCCACTGGCAGCCTGGCAGGGGCCCCCAGGATGCTACCTGGCCAGGGCCGCCTGCAGCTCCTCTTCCTTCTTGGCCAGCTGCATTTTGAGCTCTGCAATCTGGGCCTGGAGGTCGGCGATCTGCTCGTGCAGGTCACTGGCCTCGCCGTCCATCTTCCGCTTCAGCTTCTCCAGCTCCTGCCGGCTCTTCTCCTCCTTCTTCAGCCGCACTGCAACAGAGCAGGTGGGGGGTGGGCTCCTCAGGATGAGGCCTGGGATCAGGCGTTTTACATGGCGCTTGGGGGCGGGGGGAATAACCACAAACACGCAGAACCACCCCCCCACACACACACGGAACCATAGCCTGGGTCAACATCTCACAGCAGCGAAGTCAGCCCCCATCACAGATGTTCTTATGGACTGAGAGTAACGTGGGGGGCGTGAACAGAGCCATCACGCTCAGAAAGACTGGCCATGCTCGAGCTGCCCCTGCAGTGGCCACTTTACCTTCCAGTTCTGAGATCATGGATTCATGTTTGTTTTTCAGCTTAGTCAGGTTTTTGGCCTTCTCCTCCTCCTCTGCCAGATTGGTTGTTAAATCGCTAATCCTCTCTTCCAGGAGTTTCCGCTCCTTTTGGGGGGGAAAAGAGAGACATGTGCTTAGCTTTTTTTTCCTTCCTTCAGAGATTGCACATGACAACCACATGCCGTCTACAGTCTAAAGTGATGAAGGGAGGGTTCTTTAGCATTTCTAGGAGCCAGCACAGCACGTAAAGACACCACCTGCGCCGCCATCACCCCCTGTCCAAGTGCTGGTTCCAACCCTGGTTGCTCAGCTTTTGATCCAGTTCCCTGCTAATGTGCCTGGGAAAGCAGTGAAAGATGGTCCAAGGGCTTAAGCCCTTGTCACCCATGAGTTTCCAGCTCCTGGTTTTGACCTGGCTCAACCCTGGCCACTGCAGCCATTTGGGGAGTGATGGAAGACATCTCTTTCTCCATCTCTCCTTTATTGTCACTTTGCCTTTTAACCAAATCAAGAAATCTTTAAAAAGTTTCCCAAATTGACCCTGTCTCAGTTTACTCTGTTCCTCTCCTTCCATGCTCAGCCCAGGGAGCATCTGCCATGGATCTTTTGCACAGTGGCCCAACCAGCTGGGGTGCTCTCCCACTCCCTAATTGCACCCCAGTCTTCAGGTTATCCCCCTTAAATGTCACCTCCTCCAGGAAGCCTTCCCTGTATACCTGTCCCCCCCACCTGGGTGTGGTACCCTGACACTGGGTGAACATTTCCTTAGACCCTTAATTACAGTGGTCATTAGTGGTCACTGGCTGATGCCCCCAGAGGATCAGTTCCACACACAGGAGCAGGGTCTCTCTCTACCACACATGCCCAGGACCCAGCATGGAGCCGGCTCACAGCAGGGGCCCAGCTACATTCAGCTCAAAGAACTAAGAGGAGTCCCTCCACTCCACCATGCCTAACACTAACAAGAGTTGCCAACATGTGACTGTGGCCTTGGCTCCAGCCTCACACACCTGCCCAAGCCCACACTCACTTTGGACAGCTTGTTGTTCTGATCGTCCATGACCAGGATGTCGTCTTCCAGTTTCTTGATCTTGGCCTCGGCCGTGACCTTCTCGAGTTGGAGCTTCTGCCTGGCGGCTTCCTCCTCCTCCAGCTGCTCTTCCAGGTCCTTAGGTGGGCAGGGGAAAAAAAGCCCAGTTTTGTGGGAGGCACAACTGCTGCCATCCAGGACCTCGAGGGCCAGCAGGTCCCCTCAAGACTGAGTGTGCCAGTGCCCTGCATGTTTCAGTCTCCTTCCCAGAGGAAGAAACCATAGACTCAGGAAAGTTCCCTTGCTTGATGGTGCCTTGTGGGGATGGTAGGCATCATGGGGCCAGGAGGCAGGGAGGTTCAAAGTCTTTGACCTGCTTTTCTTCCTAGGTGAGGTTAATACCCCTGTCCTGGAGTGTAGGTTGAGGAAACCTGAAGGAATGACTGGTGTGTAATGGCAGGCATTAGGCTATAGAAAGTATCCCAGCATCTCCCCCTTCATCCCCACTGTGGGGAGGGTCACTGCCATACGGTGAGGACACTCAGCAGCTCTTGAGACCTCAGTCCAGCAACTACGTGTGCATGCCACAGGAAGTGGATCACAGCCTGGACACATCCTCAGATGATGCAGCCCCAACCACCATTAGACTGCAACCTCATGGGAACCCTTGAGTCAGGGCCCAGTGCAGCCACTCTGAAAAATCCTGACTCTGTGGGATGGGTATTCACCAGTGAGCTGCTAAGCTTGGGACATTTTGTTATTATGCAGCCACCGCTAGCTAATACAAGGCCCCTGCATACAGCGTTTGAAGAAAAGGAGTTAGCCCATGAACACACAGAGTGGGCTCTCCAGGGCACCTGTGTTGAAACCCCAGCTCAAGTTCTGTCGTCCCAGGGAGACAGCGGCCCCCTCCAAGTCCTCTGTCTGATAGCAACAAGCACCACTGGCTGCCAGCACTGAGGCTAAAGCAATTTGCTACCCTCTGTGGGCGGCCCCTGCAGCTCCTTACCAGCATCTGCTGGGCCATCTTCTTCCTCTCTGCCTGTAGCTGCTGGCCCCGGTCTTCCTCCTCCTCCAGGCGGGCCTCCATCTCATGCAGGATTTCCTCCAGCTCCTGCTTCTTGGCTGCCAGCCGGACGCGCATCTCCTCGGCCTCTGCATACAGCTCTGTCTCGGCTTGCAGTTGTTCCTGCAGCAGGGTCTTCTCCTCGGACAGCTGCATGTGGCAAGAGAGGGGGCTGGTGAGTCACACGCTGGGGGCACCGGAAGCCAGAGGCATGCCCGCCGTCCAGGACGCTGCCTGTCCTTGGCAGTGCAGCCGTCCACAGCCCGCACCTGCGTGTGCTTCTGCTGCAGCTCCTGGAGCTCGCTCTCTGCCTTCTGCTGCCGCTCCTTGATCTTCTGCAGCTCATCCTCCTTGGCCTGCATCTCCTCCTCCTGCCGTGTCACCTGCAGCAGCGGCTTCACCTGTGCACACACAGTTAGCCCATCATTCACTTATTACTTTAATTACTTAGTTCATTTGAGACGCAAACAAAGACTTTCCATCTGCTGGTACACCCCCAGCTGCCCACCAGGTTCAGGGCTAGGCCAGCCCAAAGCCAGAAGCTGGGACTTCATTCCGGATCTTCCACGTGGGTGGCAGGGATCCAGTTACTAGAGCCATGGCTTGTTGCCTCCTAGTGTCTGCGTTAGCAGGAAGTTGGAATTGGGAATGGAGTTGGGTAGCAAACTCAGGCATGCTTATCAAACCCAGGTGTCTTAATTACTGGACCAAATGCCTGCCTCCATCATTGCTTTTGTAAGAGAGATATTCTTGTCCTAGATTAGATCGATGGCTCTAAGCCAGGGACCATTCTGGCCCTTGAGCTCCACTCAGGGCACATGGGGTAATGTCCAGACACATTGTTGGCTGTTGGTTGTTGGTTGTTACAGCTGGGGTGGGAATGTGGGTGCAGCCAGCATCCAGCAGGTGCAGGCTAGGGACGTTGCTCTCCATGCTAGGGATCTCCCATCCCAACACAGAATGAACAAGCTCCCAAAATTTATAATGGCAAGGTGGGGAAAACTCAGTAATGACAGAAATGGGTGCAAAACAAAGGAGAAAGACCCTCCCCATCAGCTCCATCATCACTGTCATCGGGAGAGACAGTTCCTGTTGGAAACCGATGCTGCCTTCTGCGAGAAAACGAAGACTCCCTCCTTACAGAAGTCACTGCTACCACTGCTTCCCTTTCCTTCCAGTCTTTTCTTAGATATCTTTATTTAATTTCAGGGTCACACTGCCTGGATGCCTACTCTGCTTTTCCAGCATAGCAGGACAGGACAAGGTATTTCCTGCCCAAGCTTATCACACCATGTCTGCATCTTGATTTTGAGATAGCCCTTGGTTTTGATGATGAAAATACAAACATTCCATGGATGAACACACTGCCTCTTGGGAGAAGCGTCCTGCGAGGCCTGATGCAGAGGTTTCACTGAGTAAACAGGACTTCCATGGACACCCTCAATTCCTGATTTGCTGTCAGTGGAGATGGTCTCCTCAGGACAGTCTCTGAGAATTTGGGTAAATGGAGACTGGCATTTCCAAAAAGCACCTCCCTGTGTCCTTCCACTGGCTGATTCATTCCCAGATCCTTGTTCCCAAGCCCTCGCTAAGCATTCATGTGGCTGATTCAGGTACTTGCTATTAGCAGAAGGGAAACCGTTTTTCAGCTCAGGGCCATTGGATATTTATTATAACATTCACAGGCCAGAGTTATCAATTGAAAAATTAGCCTACTATGGGGCCAGAGCCTGTGGCAAGATGGGTAAAGCTGCCACCTGTGGTGCCAGCACCCAATATGGGTACTAGTTTGAATCCTGGCTGCCCTCTTCCGATCAAGCTCCCTGCTAATGGACCTGGGAAAGCAGTGGAAGATGGCCTAAGTGCTTGGGCCCCTGCACTCATGGGAAAGACCTGGATGAAGCTCCTAGCTCCTGGTTTTGGATCTACCCAGCCTTGGTCGTTGTGGCCATTTGGGGAGTGAACCAGTGGGTGGAAGACCTCTCTCTCTGTAACTGTCTTTCAAATAATTTTTAAAAATTAACCTGCTATGGATTTATTCAACTTTGAGCCCCACCTACAGGTGCCTTGGCAGGGCCAGATCCAATGATGTCACAGACCAAATTATGAACCTGTGACTGCCTGGGTATTGTCTGCTGCCCCATGTGACTGGATCATTCATGTGTGTGAGGACCCTGGTGGCTGTGCCCTCCTGCACGCAGCAGACACTCGGGAAATGCTGCTGGGTAAAGAAGGCTTGTGCCAGTGGACAAGTTCAAGGGTCCTGCAGCCAAGCAGGCCTTTGTGCAAATGCCACGATGCAGACAGCCACACTGCAGCAACCAGCGCTTTTCCTTCACTGGCAAGAAAAGTGAGCGAGCGCTGATGTGAGCAAGGAGCAGGATGTCTCTCCAGAGAACCAGAACAGCCAAATCCCAAAGAGGGCTCCGCGTGCTCCCTTTACCAGGCATTCTTGGGGTGACAAGGTCAGCAAACCCAAGAACAGGCTAGCTGCTGCCAGGGGCTACCCAGGGGAAGTGGGTGTGGCTAGGAAATGGGTGTGGCCGTCCACTGACACTTTGACACTTTGGCCGTTCACTTGACAGCCACAGCTCTGGGACCCAAGTGCCAAAGAAGGAGGGGCTTTTTCCTTGCGTGCAAAGTTTGAGTACAGGCCTTCAGCTCACTCCTGCGTTGGCCTGCCTCCAGTGCCAAGTGAGCAGGGAGGAGCGTGGGAAGGGGTCCTGTGGCCGGCCCTGGGGTGACTCACCTTGGTGAAGAGGCGCCACCACTGCCAGTTCCGCAGCTTCAGGTAGGCGGCACAGTTCCTCTGGATCACCTTCATGGCCGTCAACTGCTGCTGCCGCTTGGCGAAGGCTCTGGGCAGAATGGAACAGGCCGTGAGCAGCCCTGACTGGCACCCAATGTGACTCACCCCACTGGCCATGGCACACTGAGCCTTGCCCAGGGTCATGCCATCTTCTCCTGAACCTCTGAGTATTGGCATGGATATATAAAAGTAGTTCAGAATGTTCGTGGAAAATTAGGTGGGTGGGAGCCAGTGTTGTGTCCTAGCAAGTTAAGATACTCCTTGGAATACCAGCATCCCATATGAGCACCAGTTTGCATTCTGGCTGTTCCATTTCCAATCCAGCTCCCTGCTAATGCACCTAGGAAACCAGTGCAGGATGGCCCAAATGCTCAGACCCCTGCTACCCATGTGGGAGACCCAGATGAAGTTCCTGGCTCCTGGTTTCAGCCTGGCCCAACCCTAGCTGTTGAGCTAGCAGGAGGATAATCTCTCTCTACTTGCTCTCCCTCTCTTTAATTTTGTCTTTTAAATAAGTAAATAGGGGTTAGTGCCATGACTCAACTGGCTTATCCTCCAGCTTGCAGCACTGGCATCCCATATGGGATAAGTTCATGACCCGGCTGCTCCACTTCCCATCCAGCTCTCTCCTTGTGACTTGGGAAGGCAGTGGAGGGCAGCCCAAAAGCCTTGGGACCTGCACCCATGTGGGAGACCCGGAGGAAGCTCCTGGCTCCTGGCTTTGGATCATCCTAATTCCAGCTATTGTGGCCATTTAGAGAGTGGACCAGTGAATGGAAGATCTTTTAAAAAAATTAAAATTATCCCAGTTATTCTGGAGACAGAAGGGTCAGCAACTGATAAGGACCCAACAATGAGGCCTAAGACTGGACCAAGAGCTGCCAGATCCAGCCTGAACTATCTCGGGTCTACTTGGTGTGGTTTACACCCAATAGGAATCTCCATGGGAGATAAATTATTTCTCTCATCTTCCAGGAGAGAAACGCAGGCCTCAGAGAGGGATGAACTGGTCCAAGGCTCCCAAGCGGCTAAGCAGGGCAGCCAGGAGAGGCTGCAGGTAATAGGCTTAATGTGTTCCCTGCCTGCACTCACTGGCACCTGCTACTTAGAGCTCAGGTACAGTGTTTCCTCCCCTGAAAGAGAAAGCTGTCATTCCCCCAGTAGTGATGTCATCTCAGAATCAAGCTCCCAGCCCCACCCCTGGCCTTGTGTGTTCCTTGCCCGTGTTGTGGGAAGGCTTTAGGATGTGGGGAACTGTCCTTACTTTCTGGCGAGGTAGCCGCGGCACATGGCCTGGAAGGCCATGATGACATCTGTGATTTTCAAATCCCGCTCCTCCTCGAGGTGGGCCAGCACACCCGTACGGAAGAAGATTTTGCTCTGCCCGATCCTGTACAAGTTGGGGTCCAGTTCCAGCGCTTTGATCTGCAAGGGGAGGAGGGAGGACATGAGTGCCTGTTTCTACCCGTGTGGCAGGTGAAGAAGTGTTTTTAAAGATGGGTGCCCACCCACACCTCCCACAGCACTCTGGGGCAGGCTGGGCTCACCATGAGAATGCAGGCCTGCTTTCCATCCATAAAGCCCTTGGGGATGGCATTTGCTGCTAGGATCTCGTAGCTGGAAGCAGGGGGCAGGAATCACGTCACGGTGCCATCTCTGCTCCCCGGTCCAGCCCCACTCCCCCATGGCCCCATGGCCCCATGGCCCTGTGGGCTCACCGCTGGCGGAACTCCTGGAAGACAATCCTGTTAGGGAAGCCCTGGCGGCAGATGCGGATGCCCTCCAGCACCCCGTTGCAGCGCAGCTGCTCCAGCACCAGAAACGCGTCCAGCTTGCCAGACTGTAGGAAGAAGGCGGAGACTTTGGGGTGGGCCCTGGGCCAGGGAGGGAGAGGCACAGGGGAGGGACCAGACCAGGTATAGCCCTGCCTATCCTCTCTAGGCTTCCAGCTCCTTCCTCAGGTCCTGTTTGGCCCATGACCTCTTTGCATGTGACAAGAACATCTGCTGGCTGGACACAGGGACTGCTTCTATGTCAGTCCCTCTCCCTCACTTCCTGTCTGCCATCCATCCCACAGCCCCTACCTCCGACCTCTCTCCATAGCCATTGTCTCTCCCACCCATTCACTCACCTCCTGCCTGCACGACCCACCTGGTCGTCCACCTCCAGTCTTGGCTCACCCCTCCATCCCATGGCTTGGTCTAAGATGTTAATCTGACCCTCTTTCATCCCTGCTTCAGCCCCCTCACTCCCACACATACAATGTGGGGTGGGCCCTGGGCCAGGGAGTCGGTCATACAGAAAGAAGGCCAAGCTCTAGCCAACACACGAGGAGCTCATGACCTGATCCCTGCCTCACTCTGCCCCAGTCCCTACCTCACACCATCACATGCCGGCCATAGGAAACAGCCTGCCTAGCTTTGCCTGCCTGGACCATTTCTCACATCTGCACTTGTCCAGCCTCAGTCGTCTGCCCAGAATATCCTTACTGTGCACACCCCATCACCCTCCACTTTACCAAATGGATGTGCGCTCATCCTTACAGTTCATGTTCTGGGGAAAGTTTGCTCTGAGCTCAGGCTGGGGAGGGGCCTGGCTCTTTGGAGTTTTCCTATTAACTCTGTCCCAGCACTGGACCATCCAGACCTCAACACAGCCAACATTAACTCAGATGGACACCTTGGCTGGGCCATTCCCTGTTGGGGCTGTCCTGGGCATTGCAGGGTGTTTAGCAGCAGCCCTGGCTTCTCCATACCTATTGCCAAAAGCACACATGACTCTCAGTTGTGACAAATAAAAAAACATCTCCAGAGACAACCCAATGTCCCCCAACTGGAAACACCCAAACAATTACAGGTGACCACCACACCACATCCAACACCAAGCACTGGGAACAGATTGCAGCCCAGCAAAGTTTTCATGGCATCAAGCAAGGGTGAGCTGCTTCACAGTGGGTAAACCTAAGGAACACAGTCCCTTCCTCCCTTGCCTTCCCCTCCACCAGAGATGGGGAATGGGATGGGTCCCTGGCTGATGGAATCCTCAGGGTGTGCAGGGCAGGGGTGGGGAGGCCAAGGTCAGACACCCTCCCTGCCCTACCCCTGCAGCCCAGCTGGTCCTTGGGGCCTCACCCTCTTCTCGTGGTTGGGGATGATACAGCGCACGAAGTTGGGTGTGGTATTGCGCAGTGTGGTCATCAGCTTGCCCAGCTGCTCCTTGTACAGCTGCCCCACGGTGCGGAACATGCCCTTCTTGGTCTTGGAGGAGCTGGGCAGAGAGCTCTCCGTCATCTTGGCCATCTGGTCCAGCCCCACGATGCGGTCCACTGCAGGGCACATCAAGAGTGGCATCATTTCTTTGCATCCAGCAGGCCAGAGGTGACCACCCATGCTGGGGGTCATGGGCGAGGGAGGGCTTTGGCTAGTTCCCCTTGATAGACATCATCCAATGTTCCTTCCTCTGCTGGCCTGTAGTGACACCTGCAGTGGTAGGGATGGAAGCTTCACGGGGGTGGGCTTCCAAGTCTATCTGGGAACACCTGAGAGTGTCTGGCGGGGGCAGGGGGACAAAGAACCAATTCCCTCTGCTACCATCACAGAGCTCTGGGAGTCAGGCCTGCTCTGGCTGCTCCTCACCAAGGAGCCTTGGCTTGGTGCCATACTGTGCCTCAGTTTCCCCCTTTTCAAAACAGAGATGACCATAGCAAGTTAAGCTGGTGACGTGCTTGCCTTCCCACCAGCCCCAAATCCTTCCTACTATGTGCCAGGGACACATCATGACACATGGATATCCCCTGGGTGCCTGACAGAAGAAGACAGGCTGTGATTGGGCCAGTGCTGGACAGTGCAGGAAATGAAGTATGCTAAGAGGAAGGGAGCAGAGTGAAGAGAGAAAGCGGGGGCTTCCTAGGGTAAAGTCAGGGTGCAGGGACTATCTGCTGGGTTAATCTTTGAGCAGAGACCAGGGAGGAAGCCACACATTAGTGCACACTGCTAATGATGATGATATGACCATCATCATCATCACCAAGATCCTTGGTCTTTCAGAATGACAGATTTCACCAGCCCAGCAGGTGTATCACCTGCCCATCCCAACCCTCTTGGTCTCGGGTGGCCAATTCTGCCCCCTTGGACCCCATGAAGTTCCATGTCTTTAGCTCTCGGCTTGGCTGTCTCTCCCACAAGCCTGTGGGGCTTCTCATGAGTTCCAGGTAGACCCAGGCTCAGGAAATGCTGCACAGCTGGCCTCTCAGAACCAGGGAGGCAAGTGCCTTGGCGCCAAGTCCACAGGCTCTGTGCTGTGGGCACTGAGAGGCACAGTCGCCTATGCCTTGGCTTGCAAAGGGAACCAAACGAGGTGTCCAGAGCAGCAGCCCCAGCAGTACCCGGTAGCTTTGGGGGAATGTAGATTCCCAGGACCTCCTAGGTCTACCAGCCCAGAACCAGGGGTTGCTGGAAGAGATGGCAGACTTGGGAACTCAGCCCTCCAGCTCAGAGCAGTTTCTGGGGACAGAGAGGGCCTTACCATCCTTCCACAAATCAGCCACAAACTTGTCGGAGGAGGCATTGAGGAGGGAGGTCACATTGTCATTCAGGGGGTCCATGTTCTTGGTCAGCCAGGCACTCGCGTTGTAGTCCACCTGCCAAGGACCAGCCCACAGGTCAGACACCCTCTTCTCTGCTGGAAGTCAAGGTCAGGGCCAAGTGCTCCCACTCCCCTCCCAGGTCTTCTGAGGTCAGAGTGGAAGGGCCATCAGTGGCTGCTGCTATGAGACCCCAGAGACACAGCAAGCACGACCCCCAAGGGCAGTCTTTCCCAAAGCCCTGCACTCAGCGAGGCAGCAGCAAAGCAAGCCCCATGCAATGTCTAAGTTAGAACAGCGGCCCAGGAGGGATGTAGCTGCAGCCACATGCCCTCCTCCCACAGCTAAAAATCTCCCCTCTGGGCAGGTGAAGGCAGTGGTCTAGTGCCTGCATCCACTTTGCAGTGCCTGGAGTTGAGGTCCAGCTCCGGCTCCTGACTCCAGCTTCCTGCCAATGCGCACTTTGGCAAGTAGAAGTGATAGCTTAAGTAACCTGCTCCCTTCAGCCCTCTGGGAAGATCTGAACTGAGTTGTCGGCTCTCCCAGTTTCATCCTCTGCCCCCTACTGCAGGCATCTGGGCAATGAGCCAGAGGACAGGAGCACTTGATCTCGCAAATAAATGTTTTTACAAAATTGAAAATTCAGCTGGATGGCAATCCTAGTTTAACATAGATTCCTATTCTCTGATGGATATAATTTTTATAACCTGGAAATTTTGATACATGAATGCACAGAAAATGACATATCACTCTTCTTAAATTACTGAAGTGCTGATCATGCCCAGAGTCTTGATTTTATTATGACTCTAAAGCAAAACGAGGCAGTGAGGTGACTCTGTGTGCTTAGAGGACCTGGGTATGGTGTAGGAGTTGGAAACTTTTTTTTTTTTTCAGTGCACGACCCAGGCAGCTAACACTTCCAGCTTGGCGAGCCATGCAAGAGCCTCTACCAGCACTCCTCTCTGCAAAGCAGCCCCAGGAAGCTGGGCATGGCACTGTTCCAATAAAACTGTATTTACAAAAGCAAACTGGGGGCCTAGATTTGGCCTATGGGCTGGTGGATTGTCAGTGGAGAGCTGGGCAGGGGTTGGTAGAATACTCCAGTTCTGCAAGCCAGACTAAGCTGTGACTCTGTGTGTTATCCGGGTCCCCAGGGCGTCACAGGGAAGGGTTCTGGACATCCCAGAAAAGACGTGATGGTAACGACAAGGATGACAATCTTTGCAGAACCCAAGTGGGTGGTCTGTTGGTCACCCTGTCCCAGTTTACTTTCCTGCTACATTCCCAAGGCGTTAGTGTAAGAAAGGGCAGCGTGCCCGGGATTTATTACAGAGGTGAGGTTGTATCCCTTAAGATTCTGTGACGAATCTGGGCCAAGCTGGCCCAGAGGTTCAGCCACTCCCAAGCAGCCCCTGCTCTGAGCAGAGAGCCGACTCATCCCCTAGAGCAGAGAGCCGACTGGGCCCAGGGCTGGTACCTTCCCAGCGTAATGGATGATGGAGAACTCTGTCTTGTCCTTGAGCTGCTTGGGCTTCTGGAACTTGGGGTGGTTACCCTGCTCTGAGCACAGCTTTTCTACAAAAGACTTATCCGTGGCCTTGGGGAACCAGCACTCTTCGTCCAGCAGGGCCAGCACACCTGGAGGGTTGTTCTGTGGGAGACAAGCAGAGCAGAGTTCTGGTGAGGTGGGCTCTCCGTGAAACAGGAACCTAGCAAACAGTGATGCTAGAACCACCTCTGCCCAAACATGGACCTAGGCTCCCAAGCCCTCTGCCCCATCTATCCTCACATGACAAAGTAGGGGCCAACCACAACATGCTATTGTTGCTGCCCCCTTGTGGGCAACATGCACACAACAGCTCACAGATATTTATAGTTCTTGCTCTACCTTTTGTCGACTCATTAGAATTGTTCGTTTGAGAGGCAGAGAAAGACAGATCTCCTCAGCTGGCTCCCTCACCATACAATCATAATTCCAGGGCTGGGCCAGGCTGAAGCTGGCAACTGGGAACTCTGATCTAAGTCTCCCATGTGGGTGGCAGGATCCCCAGTCACTTGCTGGGGAAGTGTGCATAGGGACAGTGTGGTGTGTGGGGTCCAGGGGTCAGCTAAGGGCAGGCCCCACACATGTGTGAGTGTGACATGACCCCTTCTGCATGTCAGGGCGGAGGGGTGAGGGGTTCCTCACCGGTCGCTCAATGAGCTCGATGCAGGGCTGCAGGTCCAGCCCAAAGTCGATGAAGTTCCACTCGATGCCCTCGCGCTGGTACTCCTCTTGCTCCAGGATGAACATGGTGTGGTTGAAGAGCTGCTGCAGCTTCTCGTTGGTGTAGTTGATGCACAGCTGCTCGAAGGAGTTCACCTGGGAACACAAGACAAGGTGTAGGCTGAGCACATCTGGAGGAGGTCACAGGCTGGGAGCCCTGGGGTGGAAGGTGGGCCGCGCAGATTGACCAGGAAGGGGCCTCCCACGGGGCATGTGGACCCCACAGCCTGGACATCCTTCCCACGAGAGCATGCTCTGCCATCTTGGCACCCAAGTGCGGCTTGGGCTCCGGCAAATGCTGCCTAGAATTCACTATGGCTGGCAAGGCTGCCACAGGTCCTACGGCCTACACACCCCTGTCAGAAGGAAGCTTGTGCCCTGCATTTGCAAAGTCACCTGTGCATAACCTTGTAAGGCTTGTTCCCCTACCCGGTCACAGGTGTGGAAGCTGAGGCTGAAGTGAAACATCATTACAGAGAGCTAAGAGCACATTGCAAGGTCCCTGGCGACTGTACCTCAAAGATCTCAAACCCAGCAATGTCCAGGATCCCCAGGAAGGAAGCCCCTTGCCGATGGGTCTTGTCCAGGGCTTTGTTCACACGGGTGAGGATCCAGCGGAAAAGGCGCTCATAAGTGGCTTTGGCCAAAGCCTCTATGGCAAAATCGGCCTGCAGCAGGGGAGCAAGGGGACATGGTTATTCCCAGCACACTGCACTTGCCCCACGTTCTTGTACCTCCGTGACCTATTGTCCATGCTGAAATAATAAACAAACAAAGGAAATGACACCATGTCCACAGACAACAGGAAAGTGCAGATGGAGGTGGGGAAGGCAAGCCCTAAGGAGCGAACGTGGGGATAATGAAAGGGTTCCTGCTTCGTTTCTGAGGTCACTTAGACATAGTCAGTCCTCTGGAAAAGGACACAGTCATTTCCACAGAGAAGTCTCCGAGATCAAATCTGGGGCCTACAGCTAAGAGATCAAGATAAGGTCACAAAGGAAGAGAAGCTGCTGTTTCTGGGTGGGAGTGGCGTGCTCAAAGCCCAACGTGGGACTGGATGTAGATGGAATACAGAGGTGGAATGGTGGGTGGGTGGGTGGGCAAATGGACAGTTGGGGAGATATCCAAGTGTGTGGGTGGACAGATGGTTGAGTGGATGGAAGGGTGAGTGGACAGCTGACTAGACACACAAGTGTGACAAGTATGTGGGTGGACAGATGGCTGGATGGATGGGTAAGTGAATAATTGGCTGGATAAACCACAAATGTAAGGATGGACCGATGGTGGGGTGGATAGATGCACAGGTGAGTGGATGGATGGATGGACGGATGGACAGACAGATGGACAGACGGACAGATGGACAAATGACTGACAGATGGAAAAATGAAGTTCAGTGGGGTGGGTGGATGAGTGTGTGAGCGAATAGATGGCTGAGTAGGCAGCCAGATGGCTGGTGGGTAAGTGTGTGGAAGGCTGGATTTGTGGGTAACTAACATACAGAAGAGACTTCAGAAACAAATGGCAAGTACATCATTACCTGTTCTTTCGTTTGAGCTTTCTGTACCACATCCCGGCCAACCTTGATACGTGGGGTCAGAATGGATCTGGTGAAGTCTGTCACGTTAATTCCCATGAGGTGGCAAACTTTCTGGGCAGCTGCACGGAGAAGAGAGGCTCGTGAGTGCAGCACAAAAGAGGAGATACAGCGAGGAAGGTGCATGGCCCGGGATGCTTGTGGTCCGTGTATGCACTGGCTCTTTGGGGGGAACGTGGAGGTTGATGTTGCGAACATAGCACGCAGGGATCCTAAAAAGAGCCGTCTTGGCCGACTTCTCCCCTTCATGTTCTACTAAGAGGCAGTGAAGGGGGTGGGCTGCTGATGTGTTCTTATGAGGGGCTTAGGGTCAGATCGCTCTGGACCTTGCCTCTCTTTCCCATTCAAGTCCTGTGACTTTGAGCAAGCTCTCTAATCAGATGAAGTTATGTCTTCCTTAGCTGTTTAAAGCTCTTGGCAACCTTGCTGGGTTGTCAACAAGGTTAAGCAAGTAGAAGGGTGTAAAATGCTGAGAGGTAGCGTGAGTTCTGTGTGGATCCGCTCACCCACTCTAGGACATGTGTTGCAGCAGTGTTGGTAGGAGCAAATCGCTGGAAGCAATCTAGGTGTCCTCTCAAGCAGGAGCAAACACACTGTGAGGCTTTTGTAAGATGGAGTATTATCCCACACTGATCCCCTTTCCTCACTCTCCCTATCCATCCCTGGCTCTCAGCTGGGGACATTCTTGGCTGTCACACTAGAGGGCGCTACTGCTGAGAAACGGGCTAGACAACGGTGAGGATTGGGTGGAACAAAACCACGCTGCAGTCTGATGCCGATAGTGCGGTGTGATTTACATCAATTCTGAACAGCACATCCTAGACAAAGCCACAGCCTAGGAGCACGTTGTTGGGTCACATGTATGAGCATACAGAAGTTGGCTGGGAGAGGACACAAGGAAAGGACACTCATGGCTACCGGGCACAGATCCGGACAGGAGAAAAGGACCAGCTGGGCAAACAAAGCACATCCATGTTATCGCCACCATTTTATTTCCTTTAAAAGACAAAGAAATAGAATATGTTCCTGGCTATCTATTCTAGATAAGGGCTTTGTGGACTGTCATAGAATCGCATCGATTTCTGTATTTAAATGGATATATTTTTAAAAATCAGTTCATTTGCCTCTTCCCTATCAGGAAGATGAGGGCTGCCCCATGGCTGGCTTGTGTAAGACACAGGATAAGGACAGAGGGTTCGGGATTTTTTTTTTCTCAACCCCCTTTAAGGGAGCTGCTCACTCCTTTTCTTTCCCTGAGGGCTGGTCCTGGGAGGGAGGACTCCGTGCCCTTTGTGGTATAATGGGTGGGTTCTAGCAAGCTGGCAGAAGCGCCATAATGGACAACTGTGCAGCACTGGAGGACAATTTACGCAAGCACACACTCCGTGATGTTTACACAATCACAAAACGCACCAGCAACTCGCTCAGACACGTAGCTGCACAGCCTGGGGCAGGCGGACGACTGGAAAGTGGAGTTCTCTCAGTTCAGCCATAGCCAGCCTGGTGCCAGCCAGGCAACTGCCCCCAGACACCTACGGCCAAGGTGGCTGACGGGCACTGCAGCTAAGAAAGATGCTACTTAGGACTCCTGCTTCTCGTAGCAGGGCAGCTGGTTCAAGTCCCATTCCACATCCCGTTCTGGCTTTCTGCTCAAGTGCATCCTGGGAGGCAGCAACTAATGAGTAAAGTCCTTGGGTCCCTGCCACCCAGTGGGAAATCTGGATGGAATTCCTGGGAGTAAAGCAGCTAGTGGAATAGCTCTGTTTCTCTCTGTGTGTCTCTCAAAAATAAGTAAAAATAAGCCATTTAGAAAAAAAAAAGTCTTCTTTAGGGTAAGAGTGTCAGATTGAGGGAGAAAAACAGAAAACGTCCAGTTGAGCTTGAACGATCAGAACAACAAGGACACTTCCTACTATGATTACAACTAAAATATTATATCAAGCTTACTTACGAGTGCCTGGAGCCTGGCACGGTAACCTAGTGGCTCAAATTTTTGCCTTGCATGCGAAATTTTCACCTTGCAGTCCCATATGGGCACTGGTTTGTGTCCCGGCTGCTCTACTTCCCTTCCAAGCTCCCTGCTTGTGTCCTGGGAAAGCAGTCGAAGACAGCCCAAATCCTCGGGACACTGCACCCGCGTGGAGACCAGAAGAAGCTCCCGGCTCCTGGCGTCAGATCAGCTCAGCTCTGGCCGTTCCAACCAGTGGATGGAAGATCTTTGTCTTTGTCTCTCCTCACTGTAAATCTGACTTTCAGTGACTTTTTTTTTTTAAGTGCCTGCTGTTCATCTGAAATTCACATTGAACTGCCTTTGATCTGACAGTGAAACTGGTTCTGCTTCCCCAGCACGCACACAGCATAACAAAGCTGCTGTGTTGCTGTCTGCTGTGTCCCCAGGCCTGGCATCTATGCTCACGCACACTCTACCTAACACAACAGGCAAGAAGAGGACGTTGCAAGAGACCAGCCTTCTGTCCGATCTCAAGCTACAATACATCTCCACACCCTGAGTCTAGTAGCTTTCCTCTGCTGAGTCTTCAGCAGTAACGTTTGAAGGAAGAGAACAGTCGGGGCTATAACCAGAGGCTGTTAACATTCCAGAGAAGCCACGATCCTCACTTACCCACGGGGGTTTCATCTCAAGACCCCCTTCCCCTTCCAGCGGGAAGCACCGAGTGCTCCGTAGGCCATGGTGTTTTCTGACACATACATGCCGGAGACAAGGTTGAATTCCTAGATGGGGCCCCGCAGGAGAGGAGCGGGACTCAACAAGACAGCCATAACCGCATCCCGTAATGAGGTCACGTGAGTGTGGCCTCTTGCTCTCCCTCTCAGAATGCCTTATTATGAGAGTCTGTTGTGAGTCTGGTGGCTGATAACAGTAACTGGGTCCATGGAAAGCAAAACAAACAAACAAACAAACAAACAAAACAAACCACCACAGACAAGGAGGACTCCAACACGGCCATGACCCTGCCTCCAGCCCCCACCTCCAGAGCCATCAGTTAGAGGGGAGAGCGACAGGTACCCGTGTTGTCAGGCATGGATGCCTGGTCTGTGTTTCTCTCCTTCTTGAAGACGATGTTTCCGAGCTGCAGCACCGAGGACACCACCTTCAGCACAGCTGTGGGAGGCAGAGAGGTGTGCGTCAGATGTCAGCCCCAGCTCGGGACCACAGGCACCTCGGAGAGCAGTGAGCCCCACCACCAACCCCCTGCTCACGCAGGACAGAACCCCGGGCCGGGGAACAGAGTCCTTCCACGTGGATGCCATGAGGCTACGGGCTACCAGGGACTACCATGTTCATTTACATACAGAGGAAGTTTTATTGGAACAGAACACAGCCACCCCTACTCATTTACATAACATCTCTAGCTGTTGGCACGCCACAGGAGTAAAACTGAGCAACCATCATGAGGTGCCCAGTCTAAAATACTATCAGCCTTCTAGAAAATGTTTGTCAACTGCCACTAGACAACAGAGAAAATGACTCATTGACATCCACCGACACCCAAACTAATGGATCTCAAAGACTTGGATGCTGGATGCAAATGTCGACATACTGGGCATGTCAATTTATAGAAAGTTCCAGAACAGGAAAATCTAACATACATGTCTAGAAGTCAGGAGAGTGATTGTCCTGAACTGAGGGAAGCTTCTGGAAGGTGTACAGCTGGCAAGTGCAGAGAGGAGCAGAAATCCAGCCTGGCTGGAGCAGGGTTCCTAACGACCCCCAGTGGTACCAGAACCACAAAACCAGGTCTCCTAGCCAGCCCTGAAACTTACACAGCTGCTCCTCTTCATTGAAGCCCATGATGGACATGGCCTCCAGCGTCTCCTGAAACATCTCATCGTCCTGGGCGGCGGGGATGGGCACAAAGCCGTTGGACAGGAAGGTGTAGTTGTTGAAGCCCTCCAGCAGCAGGTCGTCTGGAAGAAAGGGAGGAGGGCTTGGAGCTTGAGCCTGGACCTTCAGAATTCCCGTCCCCTCCCTGAGGTCTGGGCGGTTGGAACCCATCCTGTAAATGGCCTCCACAGCCGTCACAATGCCCAGAGACAGTGGTGCAGGTTGGGCACTGCTCCAGGGGGCCCAGGAGCCGAAACCCCTGGGTGGGCTCTGCTGGCTAAGCCACGACTCCTGATACCGGGTGGCATCCACCCGGAAGACAGGATTGCATTTATCTCAAATGCCCCAAGGCTCCCTGCCTGCAGCCGCAAAACTGTCTGAAGAGGTAGTTTGCTTTTTACTCACTCACTTTTTACATTCTTATCCAAATGGTGCATGTATATGAATTTTCAAAAGGAATTATTACCAAAAAATTTTTTTTAAAAATTTTAAAAAGTCGGGGCCAGCACTATGGTATAGGAGCCTGATCTATCATCTGCAGTGCTGTAACCCCACAAAGATACCAGTTCGAGTCCTGGGTGCTTCACTTCCAATCCAGCTCTGCTAACGATCTCAGAAAGCAGAGAAGGATGGTACAAGCACTCGGCCCCTGCACTCGTGTGGGAGATCCGGAAGAAGCTCCAGACTCCTGGCTTCAGACTGGCTCAGCTCTGGTTGTCGCAATCATCTGGGGAGTGATTCAGCAGATCCAAGATTCTCTCTCTCCCTCCTTCTCTCTAACTGCCTTTCAAATAAGGATAAGCAAATCTTAAAAAAAAAAATTATTGCCCCTCCAAAAACACACAAACAAAAAAAATTGCCTGTCATAAGCCTCCTCTAACTTCTATCTTAAACTGCTGTGTAAGCTGATTCTTCCAGAAGTTACCACAATCTCTACATATATAATGACATGTATTAAGCTATTTCTGAATGTTGAGTTTAGACGTTATCTACAGACTCCCTGATACAGTAGAAGAAAATTTAGCTCTCCCACATCCCACAGCACCTTCATGTCCTCCGGCCATTCCTGCTTGAAGCAGGAGATGGGGCGTCTATTGGGGTTGCTTGTCTTTGTAAATCAAATTGTATGGAAACATCCCCATTTCCTTGTCTGCTTTCTGCATTGCTAAAGTGGCAGAACTAAATCACTATAGCCAACACCGGGGATATGGACCCCTAAGCTTACAGCCACATCTGGTCCTTTCGTCAAGCTCCTGGCCAACTGTTTGTTGCTACTGCGACGTCTAGCAGAGGCTGCTGTCTGTAACATCAGATGCGTCATTCTGTTTCTCGTGCCCCCTTCACTTTTCAAGTGTCCTTTCCCAAATGAGCCTCTGATGGGGCTGAAGTCGATGACCCTTTCAGAAAGCCAGACACATTTCTTTAGAAACAGAGTGCTTTTGTGGGTCATATGCCTTGGTAGCTGCTTCGGAAGCGTGAGGCTCAACCGATTCCAGACTCCGTTGAAGTCAAACTGTGGGATTAAGTGAAACACCCCGACATGAGCCCCAAGGCTGTGGGTCTTTGCTGAGACGTCCTTGGCACAGGACAAACTGACAAGCATCTGATTTTCTCCAACAAACTGCCCTCTCTTCTCAGTGTGACCATCAGGAATCGAAATGGCTCTGCGGAATTTTAGTTGTCAACCTTCTCCTTGTGCAATTTCAGGGGAACCAGACACCCCACACAGAACTAAATCCCCTCACCAGACAACCACACCATTGACTGGGGTGCCCGGCAGAGGCAGGAGGGAGCCCAAGATTCCCCCTGCCCTCACCCCCCGGGGTCATGGCAGAGCGTCCCATTCTCTAACTGCCACCACATGCGCTGGTGGACGACAATATTTGCACACCAGCTTACACTCCAAATCGCCCCACCTCAAATTGGATGTGGCTGCCTTCCCAGCTCCATGGAGATTTCAGTAACGACACTGCCCCACCCCCTAGTGGCAGAGCGCTGCAATACACCACATCACTCACCCCCACCCATTTCAAAACCAACTCAACCAATCCTGAGCTGCAGAAGGGACAGGCGGAAAGCGAGCCTTATTCCCGCAACATTTGAGATGTGGACTTGGGACTAGAAGACCGACGTGTTCCCTGGTCCACCATTTCTTACAAGATTTGTATCTTCTATGAAGACCCTATAAGGGCTACCTCCAAGTCTCTTTTAAAAATCTGTGCAGCGAGGGGCCAGCACACACACGGTAGGTGTGCAGTCAACGAGAAGAACGAAGCCACATTCACTCACTGATGAGGAGGACATGTGCACCTGCCACCCAAGTCCTCCATCACCCAACCACAGATCCTGGCTTAAGGGAAGGCTGAAGTCCCGCGCCTCCCAGCCTTGCCACTCACTTCTCATCTTCTCCTTGGCCCCAGCGATCAGGTAGTAAAAGATGTGAAAGGTCCTCTCGTCCCGGGCTTGGCGGATGGCTCGAGATTTCTCCAGCAGATCTGGTTTGGGAGGAGTTAAGGACTCTGGGGGTGCTGGGGATGTGTTTGCTAACATCCACCTTCCCCTGGGCACCCCACTCCCATGTCCATCAAGCCAAGGCCTGTGAGAGGCTCCTTGGAGTGCTTTGGAGAACCACAGAGCTGGGAAGAGGCGGTGAATCACTCAGGCTCCTGTCACAGGTCTGTCCCCAGGACCAGTGATCTTGAACTTCAGCCATCACCCCAGGTGGATAAACGGGACCACTGGGTGTTGTTGGCAGTCCCCCAGCTCAGAAGGAAGTGAGGAGAACAGAGCCAGAAAGAAAAGCATAAAGTGAGTCAAGCACCCCACGAAGAAGGGTGGTGGTAGGGTGGCAGGGTGGTCATGGCCAAGGGCTGTATCCCCAGCACCATCAGCAGCTCCTGTTCTTAAAAACTAAGAAGCGCCAGGGGCGTGCAGAGGCCCAGGAACCTGGTGGTGGAACATAAATGGGACAGTAGGCAGGCCGGTCTGGGTCTCATTGGGTTAGCTGACTGAGCCCCCAAAGCAACTAACAGCTTGGGCCATCAGAGCCCCAAACAGCCCATGCTCGGATTTCGCACTGCACCTCCCTGACGGCTTGAGCAAAGCCAAGAACCTGGGCTCTGCCCCCCAGGGCAGGAGGCAGCAGGGCCCAGGATGGCCAAAGAAGGTCTTCCTAAGGAGTGTGGGGCCATGCTGAGTCCCAGCAAGACCATGGCTTTTGGAGGACGCAGGAGAGGGCAGAGGCTTGTTGCCACACCTGGGACTCAGCTTTAAACAGAAAAGGAAGAACTGAAATGCATGTGCAGGGACCAGGTTTGTGCAATCATTGTTCCCCAAAGACCTGCTGCTGAGGGTCAGTCAGAAAGGCACCCAAGGGCCTGCAGAGAGGATGGGTGTGGCTCACAGGTCTTTCCTGGGTCCCCTGAGGCTCCAGACAGGATGACTGTGGTTAAGGAGGGCTAGCCCCAGCAGTGTGCTCAAAGGATACAGGTCTCGATGTTGGCGCCCACAATGTAACCGGTGACATCGAAGTTGATACGGATGAACTTGCCCTGGCAATGGGAGAACAGGTCATGGTGTGCCACCCGGCCCCATCCTGTGCCCTCTGCCCCTTCTTCAGCGAGAGTGGGGAGCCCTGGTGAGGAGGGCACGTGGCCTTGTCAGAAGAAACCCTATCTGCTCATCTCTGCCATTCCCACGCCCTGGGAGCAAAATGGGCACTTGCAAAACTTTCACAGATGAACTCTGTTTGGGACTTGCAATGACTTCCTGCCCTGCAGGGCTCTGTCCATTTTAAAGGCTGGAAAACTGAGGCTGGGAGAGGCTTTGCCTGTGACACCTGCTCCCAAGAGGTTGAGCCAAGAGGAGGGCAGGTGGGTGGGAGACTGGGTGGGGCTTCTCCCTTGATGTCGCCCTTTACTCCAGAGACATGAAAGAAACAATGTGGAAATAGTGGTCTTGCCCACTTTCCTGTAGCCTTGAACCTTTCTAACTATGTAACGATTATCAAAACTATAATAAAAAATGGAAAAAAAAAAGAGGAGAGGGCACAGCCAATGGCTGGGGAGATGCTTACAGTCCCCTGTATTGGGACCTATCAGCTACTTCTGGGTCCAGAGGTAAGTGACTGATTCTTCTACTGTGCCCATGCTGAGATGCTGAAATGTGTATTTCTATCATGAATTTTCTTTCTCCTTCCGATTCTAACCAGGGCATTGTGCTGACACGCAGCAAGCTGAACTGTGCAGGAAGTAACATCATCTATGACTAATGTCACTGGACTTCCTTGGCCTCAAGCACCTTTGTCCCTCAGTCTCCCCTTGCACATGCTGGACAGAGGGGTGAAGACACCAGGGTTCCACAGCTTCTCCAGACACTGTCCCCCACTCCTCCAGCCCTGTGCCACAAGGCCCCGGCTACTTACAAAGCGCGAGGAGTTGTCATTCTTGACCGTCTTGGCGTTGCCAAAGGCCTCCAGGATGGGGTTTGCTTGCAGAAGCTGCTTTTCCAGCTCCCCCTAAAATCCATCCACAGCCCGGTTATTGGAGAAAGTAACGCAGGTGTTGGGCACTCTGCCCTCCATCTGTGTGGGCTCTCCTGCCTCCTTCCCTCTCCTTAGGCTGGGGAACATCAAGAGACAAGCAACCAGCCAAACCTTTTGCAAGCTAGGATGTGTGTTCCCTAGGAAGGTTCCTTTTTTTTCAAAAAGCAAGGCCTGCTCCTCTAGGCGGTGTCACTGCTGCTCAATGCGCATCTCCAGGGTCGTTACTCCCATAGCAGCAAATGCGGCCCCACGGGAACTGTACAGTGTAAAACCTGCCCTGCTGTGCCGCTCCTGACTAACAAGTAGCTTGCCACAAGCAAAACCACAGCTTTTCACCTGCTTGAGCCATACATATATACACACGTACATATATATATATATTTACAGTCACCACTTTTCCTTCCTCAGGATTGGTTTTCTCACGTCTCCTGTAGAAGACAAGTAAGGGAGACACAAAACCCGCTGGGAATTCTTTCCCATGGCTGCAAAGCTTCGAAGCCGGCTGCCTGAGCTCCATTCAGCAGGGGAAATGAGGCTTTCTGCACACAGCTCGCTGGCGCCCTCTGCAGGAGATTCTGTGCACTAATCATGGCAAGGAAGGGCCAACCAGGTTGTCTTGCGGGGAAAGCCTTGAGCCCTGGGATGCAGAGGGCAGATGCAGCCTGGTTCCTCCTACCCCCCCGCCTCCCTGGGAAGCCCTGGATTCTCCGATTTTCACACTCTGACCTGCCTGCTTTTGTTTTTCCATGCTCCAGGGCAGTGGGGTTGGGTGGGCAAAGCATCTAGCAGGAGGGAAGATTAGGCGGGCCCAGGCGAAGACACAGCAGAGGCCGAGGTGGGACCTCCGTGCCAGTCACAGCTGGCACTACCCTACCTGGGACTTGTGAATATGCACATTGAGAGCCACAGGGAAGGTAAGTGAAGCATGGCTCGTTACCAATACAGCCTTGGGCTCCATTTACTCACTTGCCCAAAGGCACCTCTCTTTCCAGCTGGCGGTTCTAGCAGATGTCCTCTCAGGAGAACTTAAAACCATGAGGACCTGGCCCAAGCTCCTCACTTAACAGGTGACACAGTCCAGAGAGGCTTAATCAAGGTCACACAGGAGCAGACCCCAGCTAGGAAGCCAGCTGCTCCTTTGGACCCATGGAGCCTAAGGTTCAGTGGAAGACTGCTAGGTAGGCAGCAGGCTGGGATCTCTACGCTAGACTCTCCCCTACATTCCTTCCCCATTATCACTCGGGCTCTGGATCAGGGAGAGGGTTCACAGATGCCGAGGTCTGAGCAGGACCGGGTGGTCCTGGGTCGCCTAGCTGGGGCCTTACCATGCCACCGAAGCTAGTGTATCAACTCCAAGACCAACACTGGAGTCTTGGGTCAAGCCACGGGCATGCAGAAGACAGACACACACTGCACACGCATGCACGGGGACACACAGGTGCACGGGGGTGGGGCCTCGGGGATGATGGCAGGGCCAGGGCAGGGAGGCATGCCACAGCTGTGCCATCTGCCGACTGTTCCACCAAGCCGGCAAGCTCCGGGGCCTGGCAGCCCTAACACGCTCCACCAGACAGGATAGATGTCTTGAGGTCATTCAGTTCGGGGGCACCGCTGACAGACACATGTTGGAGGGCAGGATGAGGCGAGGGGGTCGTTGATCCCGAACCACACAGCTCAGCCCAGGCTATGGCAGAGTCCTGGGTGCAAAGTGCACCCTCCTCTCCTCCACTCCACAACCCTGCCCTGGCATCACACACCGTGGAAAAGTATCTCAGGGTTGGGAGAAGGTGTCTACCCCGTTGGGCTATGAGCTAGGGGACCGGGCGGGTGCAAGAGGGGCATGCAGATTTACTAACACTCCGTGCCACCCGCACACACCACAACACTCTGTTACTCACGTAGGCAAAGGATGGACCTTGCTGTGGTTGAATGATACAGTACGAAACAAACATCAGTGTCATGGCCATCACATGCGTGCCACAGCAGGAGGGCACGCGACCTCAGCCCATCCCCACTCCCAAATAGCCAGGGCTCCTGAGTTGGCCAGGGCAGTGCCTCCTTTGCCTGCCTCCGAGCTCATGTCTCTGGATTCACTTCCCAGACAGCACCCCCCCACCCCACCCACCTAATTTCTTGAAGATCCAGATATGGCCAAGGGCCTTTGTCACTGCTGGAACACCTGTCTGACCCAGCTGGGGACATGGGCACACAACTGGCCCTTGGTCAGCGGGGACCATCAGTGTGACAACACGTGGAGAATGAAGGCTTGGGAGAGGCCTGGCCCCTTGATTTGGCTAGGAGCCAAGCTTCCCAAGGTGCTTCTGGAAGCCTTGGCTTGGGGGCCTGGTGCTATGGCACAGTGTGGGTAAGGACACTGCCTGTGATGCTGGCATCCCAGACAAATGCCTGTTCAAATCCCAGCTGCTCAATTTCCAATCCAAGAGGAAAACAGCCTGAGTGCCTGGGATCCTGGCTGCCCACTTGGGAGCCCCGGATGCAGCTGCAGGTTCCCAGATTGGCCCATCCAGCCCTAGCAGTTGCAGCCGTTTGGGGATTGAGCCAGCGGATGGAAGATCTCTCTCCTCTCCTCTTCCTCCTTTTCTTGCTGTAACTCTTTCAAATAAATAGAAAAATAAACCAGGAATTGCTAGGCCTGCAGTTTCCCATGCTTCTTTGACAAAGGGAAGTTCCTCATGGGTGCCCACCCCAACCCCCAAAGGCTTCCTGGGCAGGTGAGCCTTGCTCACTGCTGCAGAGTCCTGAGGACTGAATCCAGAACTAGAATGGCAGTGATAGTTGTCACCGTCCCAGCCCCTTGCCCCTATCAGCCTGCCCCTAACCCTTCCAGAAAGAGCAGCTGGCAAGACTTAACTACTACCCCCAGCTTATCCCCTCAGACAGACGAGGCTCCAACAGAGCCACAGAAGGACTGATCCAGCAAGCGAGGATTCTAGAAGATGGCTCCTCCCTTCCTTCCAAGCCCTCATCACACCTTGTGGTCACTTCCTGCTGTATGGGATCACGGGATGACTCCTTTTCAATCTGTCTAGAGTGTCCAGACCCATCACTGGACCATCTACCCATTAGGGCTTAGCATTAGGGATTGGACGGCAGGTGTGGGACTGGGAACCATAGGCTGAGCAATGAGACACATGGAGGCAAGGGTGACTCAAGACCCTCCCACCCGTGGGGACACCTGATTATGTCTGGAGTCACTGAGGGTTGTTGCGATGGGGGAGGAGGCTTTGCTGCCAGCATCTGGTGGGCAGGGGTCAAGGACATGGCTGAAGATGCCAGACAGCATGGGATAGCCTGGTGGGAGGCCAGATGGCACTGTGGTGGTGACATGGGACCCGTGGGGATGGAGCACCCCACTGCCACAGGTGATGCTCCCAGCCCAACCAGGGTCCCCCACGACCCATGAACCCTCCTGGGAGGTACTGGAGAGCAGCCTGCAGGCCTCAGAGGTTCCTGGGCCAACCTGTGACCTGGAACCCCATCTGCCAAACCACAGCCACAGCCACAGCCATGCGGCGAGCCTGGCACTTAGCTCACCGTGATGCTTGTGTCCTTCTTGCCCTTGTGGGAGGAGGCCACCACGGCCAGGTACTGGATGACTTTCTTGGTGTTCTCTGTTTTGCCAGCTCCAGACTCGCCTCTGCAAGACAAAGCAGGAGTGAGGTCTCTGGGGTCCTGGCGTGGTGGCAGTGGGCGCCAGCCATGTCTCCTGATGGGGCCAAGCCTCAGCTCTGCCAGCCTACCTAACACCTGCAGACAAGACAGTGGAAAGCGTTCAGGTTCAGATGGGGGGGGTGGTGAGGGATGTTATCTGGAACTGCTGGTATTCAAGTTTCTCCAGCTTGGTTAGAAATGGAGAGACAGGCAAGAGACAGGCTTCAGGCAGGATCTAAGGGCCCCTCAGAGGCAGGAGGCAAAAGCTTTGGAAGTTCCCTTGCACAAAACAAGGGCAGTTTCGCCAGCGCCCTCGCCCTCTATACAGGGCCACCCTAAGGAGCTGGTAAGTGTTCTCAGGCAGCTGTCAAAGGAAAAGGCCTCCATCCACACGGTGGCGCTAGAGCCCCAGCGCTCATGAGGGGTCTCTCCTGGCCCCCAGACGTCACCCCAGATGCTGCCTCTGTCTCCGTCCACTCCCAGGGAGAGCAGAAGGGGGTCGGGGCTCCAGCAGTCTCTCCTCCCCTGGCACCTTCTCCTGGGTCCAGTTTTCCCTTTCTTTGCCCCGACTCTCATTTTTGGCATCTCCTTCATGTTGGAAAAAAATGTCTGTGTTTTTTTAAAGCCTGGCAAAGAATTCTTGGGGCCTGAGGTCAGTTCAAGGTTCTCCAAGCTGCCCTTCCTTCAGCCCTGCCCGTGCCTTGCCCCCGGGGCTAGCACAGCCCCCCTTCTTTCTTCCAGGATTAGGACACACAGGATCAGTTTTCTCTGCCAGCTTTGCTGCTAACTTAAAAGAGAGAGAAGGACAGAAGAAACATGTGGCCCCTGGCTCACAAGTCCCCATGGCCACTGCCCCTCCATCCCCAGGGACCCTTGTCCTCCACAAGCACATCAGAGGTGGTTTGGGAGATGAGAGACCAAACAGGACGACAAAGCCCTCCACCCAGAACAAGCTGAATCCTAAAGAGGAGAATTAGCCTGGTTTATTATTATTATTATTATTATTATTATTATTATTATTATTATGGCGGGGAGAACCAGGGAGGGAGTGCTTGCAGACTGTCTTACACACGTCCTCCTCTTGCTCCTCTCCTGGCCCACACCCATGAACACAGGACTGGTCACCTCCACGGGATGACCGAAGAAGAAAGGCAGCCCAGAGAGGGTCAGTCACATGTCCCATGTCACACAGCACAGCAGCAGCACACCCAGAGCCGGAAGTCAGGCTCCCTGGGAGCCGGCTGTCTGGAGTCTCAGGAGGGGCAGAGGAAGCGACCCTGGTGGCAGGCTCCCTGTGTGCCTGGCACCGAGTCCATCCGCCCTGCTCTTCCTCCTGGATGAAGTCTCTGCCAGGGACAGGGAGACACATACATTGGGAATCTGTCCTTCCCCTCCCTGCACAGTTTCCAAGTTTCACTGGTAAAAATAGATGGTCCGCAGGCCCTGCCAAAGCAAACACCCCCATCTCCAGGCTCGGTGAGGGCATCTTGTGATGAGGCTCCAACTCGAAGGGCCTGAACAGCCCAACTCCCTCCATCCTGGTTCCAAGGGAGCTTGGGTGCCCAGCTTCCGCTTCTTCAAGGGAACACTGGACATGAGCGGGTATGGCCTTCTGCCTTGCCAGTGACCGCACTGCCACCTCCTTGCCTCACTCAAAACTCCAGTGGCTGGATGTGATCACCCAGCAATGGCAGCATCTCCCTGACCCCGGGCCTCAGGATCATGTTCATGGGTATACAACCTGCACAGACTTAGAGACCACCCAGAAGTGGGCCCCAAGTTTGGGCTCAAGCATTGCCACTTTCTCAGCCATACACAAGGAGCTGGATGGAAAGTGGAGTAGCCAGGACGTGAACCATGCTCTCAGCAGGCTCCATAGTCACTTAGCTTGACTGCATCATGGCCACTATACAACATGCAATGAGAGCTTGGCTGCTGCACGACTGGAAGTGTCCAGAGGGGGAATCCTCTGGGGCGGAGGCTGGGGGATTCCCTTGGCACAGTGGCCAGTGTTGTCTCCTAGACATTGGCTTTGAGGGGCTCTGCTGACTCTCACTAGAGGAGGGCCTGAGAAAACAGGCAGGAGAGCAGGCTGTGGCCAGGAGAGGTGCACTGCCTGCAAGGGGCCAGACAGGAAGGACAGGGGACAGGGCAGAATTGCAGACCACGGGGTGGTCAGAGGGTGCCATCAGTGCCTCACAGCCTCATTCAATCTCGATTCAGAGGTCAAGTACATGGCACAAAGTCACAGAGCTCAGGGCAGCTCAAAGGCATCTTGGCAGCTCCTCTCTGCTTCACGCTGAATTCCTTCACCCCATGTGAGTTTGCTAAGCAACAATGGTTTGGCATTGGGACCAATGACAAGCAGCTCACATGTGGCCTCCAAGGACCCTGCGGTTGGCTGACAACTGCCACCTGCTAAGACCCCTAGGGGCCAGCTCCTGGGAACAGATTCTCATTCAAGGGTTTGCATACTTGATGAAGTGTGGGGGCTAGAGATGGAAGGGGCCTTCTCGGACCACCCAGTTGGATCCAATAGAATCACCAGGGTCTTTATAGAAGGGACGCAGGAGGGCCAGAGAAAGAGATTTGAAGGGGCTAAGCCACTGGCTTTGAAAATGGTGCATGGAACATGAGCCAAGGACTACGGAGTCACCCTGGCAGATAGTTTTACCTTTTATACTGCATAGCCAGGGAGCTGTCATTACAAATGCATAGTATTAGATGACCAGTTCTCGGTAGCTTACTGTTAAGCATCAGATGTTGATCTGCCACCACGGAAGATAGGGGTTCAGCTCTCATAGAGTCCTCACGCCTTTTGCCACAGAGCTAATGTGCTGGTGCACACAGTTGCCCTCAGTATCCACCAAGGACTGGTTCCACTGTTGCCGTGGCTGTCAAATCCTTTGGATGCTCAAATACTGCTGAGACAGCGGGTTCAGCTGTTGTCTACAATATCAGCAGCCCATATTGGTGAGCCGGTTCCAATCCTGGTTGCTCTACTTTTAATCTAGCTGCCTGCTAATGAGCATGGGAAAGCAGCAGATGCTGGCCCTTAGGCTTGGGTGTCTGCCATCCATTTGGGAGTTTCTGGTTCCTGATTTCAGCCTGATCCAGCCCCAGCCACTTAGGGAGTGAAAGAGTAGATGAAAGATCTCCCTCTGTCATTTTGCCTTTCAAATACACAACATGGATCATTTAAAGTTAAAAAAACAATACTTGGGACTGGCCCCATAGTATAGTAGGCTAAATCTCCATCTGCAGCACTGGTTCTAGTCTGACTGCTCCACTTCCCATCCAGCTGCCTGCCTGTGGCCTGGGAAAGCAGCAGAGGACAGCCCAAGTCTTTGGGTCCCTGCACCTGTGTGAGAGACCTGGAAGAAGCTCCTGGTTCCCAGCTTCAGATAGCTCAGCTCCGGCCATTGTAGACATCTGGGGAGTGAACCAGCAGATGGAAGACCTGTGTCTGTCTTTCTCTCTTTGTAACTCTTTCAAATAATCTTTACAATAAATAACCCTTATATGAAATGACATAGTATTTGCATAGAACATACCTGCATCCTCCCAGGTATAATTTCTTTAGATTATTAATGCCAATGCAAATGTAATGTAAGTAGTTATTATCCCCTATGGCTTAAGGAAGAGTGATACCAAATAAAAAGGCCATATATGGTCAACACAGATATAATTCTTCCCCACCCCCACAATGTTTTCAAAATGTGACTGGCCGGAGTCACAGATTTGGACCCGGAGGACATGGACAGTCTGCTATAGTTGCCTTGCCCCTGGGAAACACAAGTGACTGCAAGGTCACAGGGGTGAGAAGTCAGTGTGACAGTTGGGCTTCACATCCCACAGCAGAGAGCCACATCCCACAGCAGAGAGCCATGGCTGTGACCCTGACTCCAGCTCCCTGCTTAGGCACACTGGGTGGCAGTAGGTGATGGTTCCAGTGGCTGGGTCCCTGCCACCCACGTGGGAGTCTGGGATTGAGTTTCCAGCTCCTGGCTTTGGTCCCTTTCTGGACTTCTGGGACATTTGGACCCTTGGAACATTGAGCAAATGAAAAGAAAAATTGGCTCTTTCCCTTCAATTGCTGAGATTGCAACTACAGAAAGAGACGAACAGCAGGTCCACTTACGTGCACAGAATGGACTGGTCCTCCCGATCTGCAGATGGAAACAAAACAGAACCCAGAGTTAGATTTGGCATATAGCTGACAGCATGCACTTAGCTCCTCCCCCAAGGCCCTCCCATTCTAAGGCTCTTGCATACCAGTTCCATTGGGGGTGGCCTGGGTTCATTGCCCAAGGGACAGGGGTCCAAGACCACAGCTAAGAGGGCACACTAGTACTGGAGGCTCCCAGGAGACCCATCCTGTTCAGAGGTATGAGGGACTGAGCACAGGTGTGGATCCACTGGGCTATTCCACAGCTCCACAGCCTTGGACAAATGTTCTTAGACTTTTCCATGCCTCTGTTCCTTCTGTAATAGTGTATTGTGGACACATCTGGGTTTGGGAAATCTGGGATTCAGTCCCTCTCCTCCTGAGAGAAGTATGCCGAATTCTTTCAGGAAACTTTGCCTTGTGTCAACCCTGCCACCATGCAATCTCAGCAGGGCTGCTCCACAGGCTCTCCCTATTCCCCGTGGAGAGGAAGAATGGGCCTTGGGGAATGATCAGGTTCCCTGGCTCAAACCCAGAGTTCACTCAAAGACAGGGAGCACAGCAGGTAGACAGAGTCCAAGGGGAGTTTACGTCCTGTCCCCAGGACATGAGCAGTCCCAGATTCTATATAGATGGATGGATGGATGGATGGATGGATGGGTGGGTGGGTGAGTGGATGGATGACGGGTAGATAGGTGGGTGGATGGGTGGAGGATGGATGGATGGATGGATGCATGGATGGATGGGTGAGTACATGGATGCATGGATGGATGGGAGGAAAATGGAGGAAAGATTGGGTATAAAGATGGAAAGTTAAGTGGGCAGGGATGGATGGATGTGTGAGTGACTGCAAATAGTCAAATGGGTAGACAAATAGAACCAAGGAAGGCCACGACTAGATCTCTCTAGGAGTCATGAGAGACCAGTAGTGATCCTACGTAGAGGTAAGAGGGTTTATATCACAACAAGGAAGTCTGGCCTATCACAGAGCAAGAGGAAAGAGGTCACTATGGATTCTATGCCACTCTAAGCAATTCTGTCTTCCTTTAGATTACAAACAGATGTTCTGGGTCCTTGGCCCAGAGGCAAATCCTTGGGACACAAGGTAAAAGAGCCAGTGTGATATGTAATTCCTCCTTCTCTCTTTGCACACTAAGGTGTGCTGGGTCAGTACCTGCAGGGCATAGGCGGGGGCTACTGCCCAGGCTGGCCTGACCTCCAAGCTAAGAACAAGCAGGCCCCATGGGAAGATTGGCTCCAGGATGGTACACGGAAGAAAGCAAGATCCCCGCCCCTCCATCCCATCATGGTCCTGTCCCTCTGTCTGGCAGCATCCTTCTCTTCCATCAGACCTACAGCTGGCAGATTCCTGGGCTGGGAACCCATAAAAATGCCCCCAAAACACCAGTCATGTGCACACCATGCTTTTCTCCACAACAGCATCAACAAGAGCAAAAGACTAGAAACACCAATCCCACAGCCCAGCAACAGGAGGCTGGTCCAGTCAGTTCCATGGTTTAGATACTGGAATGACCCCACTGTGTTACACTGGGCAGCCACTGAAAAGGCTCAGGTCCTCGACAGACGGACACAGAATCATCTCCAAGCTAGATGAAGCTGAGGCAGGTGTTGTGAAGCAATGACTTAGACTTCTACCTGTGATGCCAGGATCCCAAATGAGGATTGATTTGAGTCCCAATTGCTCTATTTCTGATCCAGAACTGGCCGGTGCACTTGGGAAAGCAGTGAAAGATGGCCCACATGCTTGGGCCCCTGCATCCACGTGCAAGACCTGGGTGGAGGTCTGGGGTCCTGACTTTGCCCTGGCCAGACCCAGCTGGTGCAGCCATTTGGGCAGTAAACCAGCAGATACAAAAAAAAATCTCTGTATGTAACTCTGCCTTTCAGATAAATACCCTTAAAGATAGATCAAGCTAAGAAACAGAAGGCTAGGTGGCATGGCATATGCCTTTTGTGTTTTAAAAAGAGGGATACACATGTGTACACATACTTATAAGTATATATGCAATTAACCAAGGTAGCAACTTCAATCATCCCCAGACTGAAAACTTCAGGAGAGAATTATATGTGTACTGAAGGTTCATCCTTGCCATTGCTCCCTCAGCCATCATCAGATATTACAGGTCAGCTGCAAGTGACTTCAGTCTGCAGGAGGACTACCTGGGCCACAGGCAAACACTTCACTATTTTATACAAGGGACTGTTGCATTAAAACACCCGGGTTCCCGCAGGGGGTCTCGGAATGGCTCCCCGTCATCAACTAAGGGTCGATTGTCTAAGTGCCCAGCATATGCACACACACACACATCCTTCCACACCGTGCATGCAGTGTGAATATTCTCACACTGCCAGCAAAGGCTGTGTCCAGGGATCAGCCTGAGGGACCTCAAACAAGGCCAGAGGGAGAGGACCTTTCACCCCATTTCATACACTCACAGTTCCTGTGCAGAGCCATGAAGAAAAGTCAAGGGAAAGAGCCGGCAGAGCCAGGAGGACTTGCCCACAAGGCATGATGCTGAGCGTTGCTTGTGGCCGCCAGCATCTCAGGGCAGGCATGGGACAGGGCCTTCCTCAGAACTCCCCCAAGGACCCACGTCTCCTTGATGACACTTTGACGTCACCTGACCTCAGCCACAAGGTCAGGGTCATTTCCAGCTGCTACAGGAAACAAATACAGTGATAGAGCTGGTATGTGGCAGGCTGGGGCTCCCAGGCAGGGTCCTTCTGCCTGCCTTCTTACCGCTGCCCTGCTTCACCTCCACACACACCCCATCCATCTCGGGTCATCCTCCCACAGTGAAGGAGACAGCAGAACCTGCATCCCAGCAGCATGTTCTGAAGACACAAGTTAGTCAGTGGCCCCATAGACAGAGTGGCCTGGGTGCAAGCAGCATCAATGTCCAAGAAGAAGCATCCCCAGCCCCCCAAGAAGACCACACCAAACAGCTCTGCTGGGAGAGAAAGCAGGGAGCCAGTCAGCCAGAGAAGGCCCTGGAGCTGGCTTCATGGCTTCTGCTATTTTAAGGAACAACTTGGACACTGGTGGATGTATCAGTTGGGAGCAATGCACGCTTTCCCAGTGCAGGAGAAGTTGATGGGGTCAGATGCACAACCACGGGACCCCCAGGAGAGGCAGCAGGCTCCAGGGAGGGCTTGGGAGCTGCCCGAGGGCAGGCTCTGTGCTGGCGGCCTCTGGGAGACCTCTGGTCTGGGACAGTCCCAGTGGGAGGGCAGGCGTGGGAATCTGGGTTGAAGGCAGGCTCAGGAAATGCTGCCACCCGCCTACCCAGGGCTCTCTCGGAAGCAGCTCTTCCCTCCGAGGTGGGCAGGGCCCTCTCTTCTGCCCTGAACCTGCCACCACTCCTCCCCCTGCCTCAGCTATGAGCTTGTTCCCTCTTGTTAATGCAAACCAATTTCATGGTACAAAAAGTTAACCACACTGAAGTCAATGATCCAGCAGCCCTTGGCTCACGGTACCATGTGGCTCCAGTGCATCTCTTGTGTTCCATCTGGTCACCTACACCTGCTCCCGCCCCTGGAGCTCCTTCTTGCAGCTCACTCACAGAAATGGAATCAGACACATGCATGGCTTACTAGGCTTGGCTTCCTTCACTTAGCAGAACGGTGTCTTTTTAAGACAAATTCTAAAATTTATGTTTGGAAGTCAGGGAGATACGGGAGAGGAGAGTGAGGGGGGAGGGGAGTGAGGTGGGGAGGAGAGGAGAGAGGGAGAGAGGAAGGGAGAGGGAGGATGGAGGGAGAGGAGTGTGTAGTGTGAAGAGGAGCATGGAGGGAGAGGAGAGGGAGAGATAGAGAAGAAGGAGGAAAGAGAAAGAGAGAGCATGCCCAGCTGCTGGTTTGTTTCCCAAATGGCCCCAATGGCCAGGTTCAACCTAGGCTAAGACTAGGAGTTGGGATCTCCCTCTCGCACGGTGCTAGAGAGCCAGCTGTCTGAGCCACCATCTCGTGCTTCCCAGGATCGGCATTAGTAGGAAGCCGTCACTGGGAGCAGATCTGGGACCTGAACCCAAGCACTGTGACATGGGATTCGGGCATCCCAACCAGAATCTTAAGCCCTGCACCAAACACTCACAGCTCACTGAAAGTTTCCACAAGTCACCTACTTTGAAGCAGGCATCAGTTCTCCATCCCTTTTCATGGCTGAGTAAATATTCTATAAAAAGACCACATTTTATGGATACATTCACCCACTGAAGGACATTAGGTTGGCTGTTGCAAATATTGCTGTGACAAAACTTCAGGTGCAATTTTTTTTTTGTTTAAGTTCCATGTTCAATTCTTCAGGTTTGTATGCTAATCCACCCCTGAAAGATCACTACCTCTGGTCTGACTCCACAGTACCCCAGAGGGCAGAACCAGGGTCTTTTGCACCCCATCTTCTATCAACAGGGCCTCTAGGGCCAGCGCTGCATAAATCTAGGAAGAATCACTCCCTTGCATTGACTGTTGTAGGTTTTATAACATTCTCCCAGCCGCTGAAGGGAAAGGTGGCTCATTCTACAAAGTTACCACAAGGCCTAGTGGGAGCCCCGACTGCCGGAGTCCCAGGCTTCTCTCTACTGGAATCATTAACTTCACTGTGATTGTTATTGCACCTGCCTTCATCTCAGCACCCCTGGGGAGCAAGATGCAAAGTGATGCCAGGACCACTAGTCACAACGTGGCTGGTGGAGTTTGTCATTCTTTTCCAGGTAGGCACAACTTACGGAACTTCCTATTATGAACAACAGGCAAAGCGTCCATCATCGAGGAGCAAGTGAACGAAGCAGGAGTTGTAAAGAGGGATACAGTAGTGCTACTCCACCATGGCCGACCGCAAAACCACCATGCGAAGACAGAGACGCCACTTGTCCACGGTCACCTACCCAGCACTCCTTGTACAAGCAGAGCCGAGACAAAGTAGATGAGAGGGTACTGGGCTTGGGGACACAGAGAGACTGCCAACTGCAGGGGACCTGA